GCTGCCTCAATATCGCCCATATTGGTTGAGATATAGCTTGTTGAAAATGGGGGCTTTTTTCTGCGGGGTCGCTAAAATCGTGCACGAGCCGGTCACGTGCACGAGCTGGTCGCCCACGTTAGTTATGGCACAACGTATCCTTGTCAACTGCCGATCTAATCACGATCCCATCGCCGTTGGACACCTTGCCTGTCAAGCCCTTCTTCAACGAGACTTCATCTATGGAGAGACTATATACGATGGGTAGGACAGTTCGGGAACGTGCAGAGACCTACCAGATGTTGGGTGCTAATCGACTGCGAGTTCGAAGCCCACGGCTCCACTCCGGTCATAAATCTGACGTGCTACAACGCCTCAAAAGGCGATCAAGTGTATAGCGAGTCCTTCCACTTGGTTGCCTTTACGCTGCTAATCCAAAGCCAGAGCTCTCTCTCCAATGCCCTCCTCGCCGCCGCTATACAACTACCTCAATAAACACTATGCCTGGGGTAGAAGGGGATCCCCTTAGGTGGCGCCCCAATCTCCTCCTGCGAGACCATCTTCTTCACAGTACTACCTTTCTATATGAGAACTTGCGCACCCCGTATTAGCCACAGCCCTGCTTATTCATCTTCGCTTACCACCACCCAACACTCACATTCCTCTTCAGCATACCCTCATTCACTTTTTACACAACCCTCGTCATGGATTTCGACAAACGCATCGACACGTGCAACATGGATAAGGCTCTAGAGTGGGGAGTGTTGTTCGACGAGCAACGAAACACAGCACTGCCACAATGGCTGTCTGGCTACCGCAACCATCAGCCATGCGAGGTCCTAACAACGTACCATGGTTCCTTCAACTGGAGTTGCAGCGTTCGTTTCAACGACGGCATCACTTGGCTGGTGCGATTCGCCGTACCGGGAAAGGTCATGGACGGAGACGCCAAGGTGGTTCGAGAAGTGGCAACCATGTACTATGTCAAGTCGCACACAACCATGCCCGTCCCGGCCATCCACCACTGGGATCTTTCAAAGGGCAATCCCTTGGGCCTAGGCGCCTTTATCATCATGGACTTCATCCCAGGAATGCCCCTCCGTGATCTACTAACAGACGAAACCGATCCCGACTCGAAGAAACTGAAATCCGACTTCCCCGACGAAAAACTATGCATTCTCTATCGACAAATCGCCGACTTTCACCTGCAACTATACCAGCTGGACTTTTCCTCTATTGGCGCGCTATCATTCGGCAACGACGGGAACATCGCGGTGAACGCTCCACCGTTGACCCTTAAGATGCAGGAAATCGAGGCCCATAGCGGACTGAAAATCGCGGGTAATGACAACCTCGTGCCGTACCCATCTAGTACTAACTCGTACACTGCAAGCTTGTGAGAACCAGCTCTCGTCAGCTACAGACTACTTTAATTACGTTGCCCAACAGGATCTTCAGCACTTGCATGAGCAAGCTAACTCAGTCGACGACGCCACGGATGCCGAAGCCAAGCTTGTCTTTCGACATCAGCTCATTGCGAGCATCCCCCAGTTCGTCCGCCGTGATTACGATCTCGACCCGTTCAAGCTGGCATGCGATGACATGCGTTACGGAAACATGCTCATCGACAATCCGCAGGATCTAAACATCGCCGCCGTGATCGACTGGGAATGGACAAACATAGTGCCTGCCCAGATGACCCAGTCGCCGCCGCAATGGCTTTTGATTCGGAAACCAGCCGATTGGTCTAGTTGCGATGGCGACGAGTTTGATCGGTACAATCACCTGCTCAATCTCTACCTCAATGAGATGGAGAAACTAGGGTCGAGCAGGAACACAGAGACAGAGGACAGCCTGTCACGCCTCATGCGTCAGTCGATGTCAGACGGCAAGTTCTGGTTCCATGCGCTCATCCTGTCATGCTATGACGCCGACTACTCTTCCCCATAGAAAGCGCTCCGGAAGTTGATCCCAGACCTAGATAAGCGTGGCTGTCTTCCTGAACCGTACAGGCGGGCTTTTGTCGATAAGAAGCTGGGAGATTTGGCCACGTACACGGCTTCGTGGAAGGCAATGCAGGCTGAGAGGGAGATGGAGAAGAAGCGGAAGGAGAGGGAGTTGGACGACGCCATCCCCAGGGTCTTGGCAGAGGAACCCGACAATGCCGACGCTCTGAAACTGGCTCGTCGGAGGGGCCTTATCGTATAAGTACTGGTGGTGATTTTGTGTGAAGCTGAGCACTGGCCCGAAGCGTTGATACTAATTTTGCCTCAGCGGCACGATTCATATGCAGGAAATCTCTCTCCCCTTGTGTCAAAGACATGCTCGGAAATCATAAATCCCGGATCCGAATATTCGAACTGGGTTTCGAAAGTGGGAGCTTCGCACGCGCGGGAGCAATCATAGACGACCCATCCAGGCGCCAAAATAGGATCCCAGTACTAGTCAAAATGTCAATACTTTGACGACTCCTCCAACTGCAGTAGCTGGAATATAACCTAGGGCATGGAACACCATTCCCTTTCGCTGTGGAACTACAAAATACCGCCATGGTCTACAATCATTCTTATTGAAGCAACGACCTAATATCAATGTACATAGGCTATGCATAAACCAACTACTCTCGAGACACAGCCATAACACAGATCGGTTACCCAGACACCAAAACACCCAGCCATGCACCCGTCCCCCAATCCACAAACCCTCCCTCACCACAAACCACCCTCACCCGCTAAAACCCAAAACTATCCAGCAAGCTATTCGCATCTGGCTCCTGGAACTGCGTCGGAGGCGGTTTCTTCACCTCCGCGTGCTTCTCTTTCTCCCTCTCCCTCTCCTTCTCCTCCTTCTTCTTCTCGTCCTCCTTTGCTCCCTCCTGACTGGCTTTCGCAGCGGCGACTAGCTCCTTGATGCGCTCTCGTGTAGATATATCATCGATGACAAGCGAGCTCCTCCTACGGAGCAGTTTTCTTGCGTCAAAGCCGAGATCTGCGAACGTCTGTGTAGACGGGAGCGGCGTGGGAGTTGGTTCATGGTGTACGGCCGGTGAGCGGGGGCGTACGTGCGCGAATAGCTGTGAGCGGCTTGGGGTGAGGAAGTCCCATGATTTGACTAGGATCACAGTTAACGAAATTCTGTTCCGAATATGTTGTGAGAGTGAGGCATACCTAGGTCAAGTGCAAGCAAATCGCACCCCATGCGCTGATAGAGATTCGCAGTGTGTATGACAAAGTCCCACTCCTCACGTAAGTGCACCATTGTCGCGCCCCTGAGCGTCTGCAGACTCTTCTCCCGCAGCTGCTTGTAGAGCACGACAAGAGCGGGGTCGTCAGTGAGATAGCTCTTGCTTTTGAGATTCGGAGTTTCGGGAGGCGACAACAGCGTACTGAGAGGCGTAATGAGCGCCCGCACGGCACTGTCGCGTCGATTCAGCATCCAGTATGCCCACGTCGCCAGCCATCGATTGCCATCCCGTGCCGCCTGCGGAAGAATCTTCTCCGTCAAGAAAGTCCGTAGAACGGGTCCGTCATCGCCCTCGTAGACGCGCGCGACAGCAATAGCCAATTGTGTATCCCCCAGTTGGTTGTGAAGTACGCTAACTGCATCATGCAGATGATCCGCCAGAAGGAAAAAAGCGGCAGCATACTCAAACCTGCGTCTTCCCATGAGCGCATATGCGTTCTTGAGGGCAGCAGTCTTCCATCGCTCCTCCACGAAGTCGTTGGCTAGTAGGCGTTGGGTGGCAGCTTGCTCCTTGCTCCAGGTGGCCATACGCCACAACCCTAGTAGAACAGCCTTCTTGCGAAGAGCGAGATAGTATAACGAACAGTCAACTGGATTCTTTTCTTCTGTTTTCGTGTACTCGTTCCGGGCTATGATTTCGAACTGGGTGCGCTGCGAACGTGAGATTTTAGTTTCATAAGTAGCAGTCAAGAAGTTGGATCCTTACAATGGCGTTGCTGTCCGTCAGCCACATGAAAAGCCCAGACTCTCTAGCATGCTGCCACAACATGCGCCCGCTGAAGTGCCTGCTGACAAGATCTACCAGAATGTCTTGACTACCAGAGTGAAAAGCCCACGTGATCTCCCTCCAATGGATCGGTGCATTGGAACCTCTAAGCGCATGTTGGCGGAAGAAGAGCATGAAGCGCCCGGCGTTGTCATCAATCGAACGTCGATGTTTCTCCACAGTGCCGATGCACTCTACGATATCCGCCAGGTGGAACTGCTCGCGAGAGGAGAGGATCGGAAGGACTTTCTGAGTTAGAAGCTCATTCAACCTTGCAGCCGCTTCCTCTGTCAACGTTGAGGGCTCGGTTTCGTCCGTGAAGTCAACGTATGATGATTTCAGATCTTTACGGGAGGCTGTCATCTGGGGCTACAAGGAACGGTTAGCCGCTGGACACAATTGATAGAGACGACGCTCACCTCAGCATCTTCGAAGAAGTGTTCCGGCGAAACTCCCACAAAGCTATCGAGTTCATCCCCTTGAGTGAAGAATTTCAATTTCTGATACAGGTTTATCAGGATTCGCTGAGCCAACATGAGCTTGCCCGCAAGAACACATTGAGACAGCATTTGCGGGTGGTACACAGGTAGTGGTCCGTTGAGCCGGCTAACAGTCATAAAAATATCGACAGATGCTGTCTTATGTGATATCAGGCGCAAACTGGGGAACAGGGCCTCTGTCACCTGCACGTGTTCGTCTTGGATGTAAAGTTGATTGCCCGCACACATCACTAGATTTCCGCTGCCTAGCCATACAGAGTCGCCGATCGGATGTGGTGTGGAGTCTCGAATGCTTACTTCTCTTATTCTCACCCATGAAGGGCCAGCGTTGAGGTAGTCGTACCGGAGTTGCGCGTACATGAGTACACGATGAGGGAAGCCGACAGCCAGCACTGACTGGTTATCCGGCGTCGAAGACCAATCAACGTCGTGGATGAGGCCACTACCCTCGAACGTCTCCTCGTACTCGAGCTGCGCACTTCTTGTGTTCCAGATGGTCAAGGTCGTCTTATCGGCATCAACTAGAGCCGCTTTTCGAATTGAGGTCCCGCTCAGCAAAGCTGGGTTATGCAGACTCGTTTCAACGACGCCGGTGCGCAGCCATTCCACTTCGCGCCTTTCCTTATCTACGCGTGCAGTCCACGTTGTGATGACGCCAGTTGTAGTATATGAGATTGCAACATCGCGGGCAAAAGTGTCGAGGAATCCTGAGATGACATGCGGAGTGCCGGCCGGATCGACAGGCAAGACGTACGCAAGATCCACGCCAGAGCCCAAATCGAAGGTACAAAATTCCTCCATGGCGATCTCAGGGTGCCCGTTGGTATATGCTCCATTCGTTTGAGCGGCGATGAGTGACACCCTGCGGCCAGTGGCCGGATCGCGCTGCGGGGGCGGTAGCTTCAACTCCCAGCAAATGCCCTTGAGCAAGGAGCTTATGGTGGCTACGTGTATGCATCTACCGCCAGCCTCCGTCTCCGGGATGAGAAGAAGACACAGCGGCTTTCCTTGTAATGTGTACTTACAGCAGGCTACCTCGATCGCAAGAGGCCCGCGTGTATCCCATAGACATATGCGCTCATGATGGAGGAAGACCACAAAGTCTCCCTCATGGAACAACAGCGTCCGATGGATGTGATCGGTATCAGTGACCATACTATGCCGGTGGAGAGTTACACCCTGGTCCGTGTTCCTCTGTAACCAAACAATGCACTCGTCCTGAACGGTTCTAGATACCAAGGCCCGTCCGCTGGGAGTACGGTTAACCTTCTTCACAGCATGTGAATGGCCTGTCCAGATCGTTTTACGTTGTATGCGTTGACTGTGCGGAGAAGGATCGAAGAGATAGTCGATTCGTGATTCTAGCCATTCTATCCTCCCATCGAAGTGATGAGACAGTATGGTTAAGGGCGATTCAGGCTTTCCGCCGCAGAAAGGGTAGAACTGTATGTTATCGTGCAGCCCTATTGGGCTCTTTGCAAAATGAAGACGCAGTCCTTCGACGTGAGCAATGTTGAAGACATCGGATGTCTTCCTAGTCTTTGATCCAATGTTCTCGAATCCCCAAGCCGACATATTTCCACGATCGTCAAGCACAACGCATATCTCCGGACTGCGATTCGCAACCTCTACGAGGTGATGCAAAGCCATCTGATCTTTCTCATCGCTCGTCGCCTGTTGCACAGCTCGTTCCGTCGCATGTGTGAAGTGCTTTCCATCGATGAAAAAAGCGTACCGTTTCTGCGACTGCTCGTGTATGGGCAAGGATCTTGGCTTGATGGATTCAAGTAAGTCCACCACTGCCCACAGCTCCAACCCTTCGGCGCCGTGATGCTCGCCCGGTACCCATACCCTCACCTTGTTGTCCGCGCAAATCGTATATAGCACATTGTCCGTTGTTTGCTCCCTATGAAACGGCGGACGCCAGTGGATACCAGTCACGGCCATCGGGTGGGAGAGGTACGAGTAATCAAAACTGGGTGGTGCGGAGCCGAAAGTTTGGCGCCTCCATATTTTTAAGAGGCGGTCATAGGTGCCCGTCGACGCTATCATCTCCGCATCGGGCGAGAACTGTGCGAACTTGACAGGATTCGCAAGCTTCTTTGTCCAGATGCGCTCGATTGTGTCATGCGTGTTAAAGAGGGTCAGTGAAGCACTGCCCGCGAGCACTTCATCTGGCATGCCCCACGAGAGCGTCGTGATTTTGTCTTCGGGGTCGGGCAAGGCCATAGTTCCTTGAAGCGACCACTTTGCGAAGGCCCGTCAGCACTTCCCCATGTGTCCGAATAAGTGGCCCACCTTGACAAAACCCTCATCGTGTCCGTATGGTTTGTAGACATAAATATGGGTTGTTGAACACGTGGCTATCTTTCCGGTTTCATCGTGGAATATAATGGCTTCGAGCTCCGTCTCCTCGTGGATGTAGATCGTCTGTAGCACATGGTTTGGGCGGTCTAGGATAACGAAGCAATTGCCAGATATGTAAGCCTGCGATCACAAAGTCAGATCTTTCAGTAGCATGCTTCCACCAGTTTGCGGGCATACAATGATCTGATTGCCTTCCCACAGGCCTTGGGTGACAGCTTGCAGCTTTGCCTGGGGCCGCCCAGGAAGAATTCCACGCATGGGGAAAACCGGCTATCGGTAAGGCATATCTTTTTATATGTATATAGACGGCTTGCACAAGCATGCGCAGTCCGCTTGAGGCTTCGAAGGTCAATGAGAGGTCAATACGCCGACTACTGGCGGTGCAAGGGAGACGCGCGAGGTTCCCCAAAGCTCCGGTGCACGGGCCACAAGTGAGGTCAGATGCTCCTGATTGGCCCGAGGTTTAACCACCCACTAGCCTGACGGATAACCGTACATACAGGCTTCACTGCTTCAATAAGCTCTACAGAGTATCTCAGAAGTTGCTCAACGCTATCTCAACTTTTATATCTGACTACAGGTACTCTGTACTATTCCATGGTTCTCGACACAATCCCAGAGACAGGTCCATCCACCCCCTCCCCCTCCCAACGGATTGTAACGTCGACCCCTCTCGCATCTCTCCTTCTCTTTTTGTACGTTACAGTACCCTTCAGCGTGCTACCAGCCTTCAGATGCGTCTTCCGGTCCTCATCCGCCAATAGTAATACAGCTTGGTGCCAGTGCGTCGGTGTAACCGAGGGCCCTGTTGAGAACGCCACACCCTCACCTCCTTCATCCTTCCAGTATGCCGCATCCGCGTTCTTGAGATCTCTTGGCTGGTTGTGAGGGAGGAAGAAAGTGTCGAACCAGATGGCAAAAGCGTCCAGTGCCTTGACATATTTCGCCAGCGTAACCTCGAATGACGCGGTGAAATCCAACTCTTCAACCTTGACCCTCGCAATATCAATTTCGTAGAATGTAGCAGCCTCCCCACAGATGGCCTTGGGCGGGACATCAAAAACGCCGATCTCGCGCAGGTTGAGGTTGCTGCCGGGTATCATGGCGGAGAAATCAAACCCGTACACATCCTTCCAGAATGTCTCGCCGGTGCTCTCAGATATCCATTCGCGGTCTGAGATGGGTGCAATCTTCAATGTGCAGTGACTGGGGACCATAAGCCCATCGGGCTTGAGGTAGAGGTCGCGCGCGCGGAGCACAGAGTCTAGCATGCCTTCGAAGAGCAGCCCATAACCCATCCACTCTGAGACGATGATGTCGACTTTGGCATTCCCTATCGTTCTTTGCGTTTGGAAGTCTTCCACCCGTCCTTGAATGACCTGTATCGTGTGCTCATAGCCGTTGTTCTTGACGTTTTCTCTTGCTCGCTGCGCAATATCCGAGTTATCGACCGCGAAAACCTTCTTTGCCCCGGCCTGCGCACAAAATAGCGAGAGGATGCCTGTACCGCACCCAACATCTAGGACAATCTTTCCATTGAAAAGTTCTGAATGGTTCAGAATGAAATCGCGATAGGACTCTGTTCGAACACGATCTTCAATCATCTCGCGGTGGATAGCGTTTCCCTTGTAGGATTCAAAATATCGGTCATCACGGTCGTTATTTGAGTCAATTTTCTCGATTTCATCCGGGATATTCTTCATCAGAGCAGCCTCGTACTCTTCATAATCTCTTGCCTTCTCCTCTGACTCAGGCATTACTTCTCCAAGTTCCCAAAGCAAAGGATCATCGGGGAGGGTTGGTGCCATGTACCGATCATCTGCAAGGGCATCTGCGGTTACTGTGAGTGATGCTGGGTCCACTCCGTCCTGCGCCTGTTTCCTCAGAAAGTTGATCAACTTGATGACACCAATCTCTTGTAGTCCTATGAAACTGTATTAGCTCGATCGCTAAAAAGAGCCATGAATACATACGCGATCCGATGTCCTTCACCGTCTCTCTTATGGGGAACTTGTGATCGCCCGCACAGTGCGCAAACATTGTAGCGACCGCGGAATATTCAGTCTCGCAAAATAGGCACTTGAAGCTGGTGGTGTCAGGCTCGGATGCATCCTCCATGATGCTACCAGCCGAGCTGGTTCCATCAACTTCGCTGTCAGACATATCGATATCTCGAGCCGCGTGTTGGGAAAGACCGGCCACGGAAGGAATAGTACAATGCGAAATTGATAGCGAATGTCAAAGCGACTACCGGAACTTCCCAAATTTCCCGAAGTGTTCTTTAAGTGGATTATTGGGAGAAGAGGGAAAATTTGGTGAGGCTGCGACTGGTGGGTCGGTTACGCCTTCCATGAAATCCCGATTCGGTAGTTGGGTGGGGCGCGCTAAACTTTGATCAAACGTCCACCCATAATTAAATCCTTCACCTTCACTCTCTCATTATGCGTCACTCATCATGTCTCGAAAGCCTAAGGTTTTATCCTGAACTCTACAATTGCATATCAAAATGAAACAGATAAATATCCATTTGCTGTTTTCCGACACGTTCATCGTCCCTGTCCGCCAGTATCAGACGGGCCCCCTTCCCCCTAGCAACCTACTTCCAAAAAAGGAAAAGAAGACGGAGCACGGCGTTATTCTTTGACAGCTCTTCTGCGGAATCTTCTAACAAGTCCAGCACCCCCGAGGTTGAGCTCGCGGCCCTCCAGAGCTCCCGACCCTGATATGCCTCCAGCTCAGAGCCCCATACCCATACAAAACGCCCCCAACCCTATGACCCTACTGGAAACCGACATTCTCGCTTTTGGCAACAGAGAGAATTAAGAGTCTGCTGAGCGTTAGCGAGGGACACGATAGTGCTCCGAAATGCAGCCAACTCGCCATTCGATCCGGAGTCGCAGTCGGCATTTGCCTTGACATCTGCATCTCTATCAGCCAGGCTCGCGCCTCACTCCCATTCGCGGACTTACTTTTGGTCTTCTCGACGTGATTCTTGTCGTGCTCGAACAAGAGCGCAGCGAACATGGCCTTGACGGCTCCCTCGTTCGTGGCGTCGACCTTCTTCTTCCGCTCCTGGTAAGAGCGAAGAAGCTCATCGGTGATTACGGGCCTGAACTGGCGTTCCCTCTCGTCGAACGCGCCGGGATTCGCATCCTTGATCGCGGTGATGATGCGCGTTGACTTGCTCGCGAACGAGGAGTAGGATCGCGGTTCGCGCGGCTCCAGTGCTTGGCCCTTCTTGTCTGTCAAGACCTTCCCTTGAAAGAACCTGTTGAAGTCGTCCATTACCGCCATCACTCCGGGGAGCTTGATTGGGCTTTGAAGTCCCTTGGCCAATCCGAGGTTGTAGTATAGGTCGAACCAGTCGTCTTCATCAGCGGTGAACTTGATGATTTGCTTCTCTTTGAATCCAGCACGGCCCCAGATCTGGGCGCGCCAGCTGTTGATGCCGGCAATGTGCCTCTTGGAGTTCCAGTCAATCATGAAGTAGGGCGTCTTCGCATAACGAAGTTCTTGGAGCTTACCGTCCTGCGAGTTCTTGACGAGAATGGTCAGAAGGGAGGTGTCCTTCTCGCCTCGGACGGCCTTGCGGCGAGCCTCAACGGGAATGAGCTTATGGGGTGCGTTGGGGTTGACGGGGATCTCCGGGAACCAGTCTTCGCCTTCGAGGTCGAGTTCGTCTATGTTAATGTTGCTGTTAGCCGCCTTCTCCTTAACCCTTTCAAGCAGAACGGGAGGAATAGCGTCGTTCTCATTGGAACCACCCGCATGGCCAGAGAGTCCCAAAGAAAGATCGGCGAAAGAGTCAGACGAGGTCGCTGTATGTACCGTAGGCTTCGCAATGATTACGGCCTTGGCATTCAGATGAGGAGACTCTTCGCCTTCGGATTCGGTACCGGATGGCGCTGTATGTATTGTAGGCTTTGCAATGATCAGGACCTTGGTATGCAGGTGAGGAGACTCTTTGCCTTCGGATTCGGTCCCGGATGGTGCATCAGAGAGTTCCATGTCCGAATCTGTCGACATATCGGTGTCGAAATCGTATAGCTCACGCTTTGCGTCACCCATGGAGAACTGGATCTTCCTATCTTTGTCCGGAGTGCCTGTCACTGTGGGTGATGGCACGATCGCGCTGTCCGCAGAGATGTCAGCGGACAGGGTCGCAAGTTTCTTATTCGCATCCTTGGGCTGTCCGTTGTCGGGCGAGGCGGAGCGGACCCGCTTCAAACCAGCCATGATATACCACATCTGACCTTGCCGAGATGTGGTTGCGATATGATGGCTGTCGATTGCTCAGTTTCCCACGCTCGTAAGGCGGTGTGTCGCCGTTGTCAGTTCTCTGAGTTGCGGACTGGTGATGGCGTTGAAAGAAGGGTTAAGGGTCGTGGGAGAGATTTTATGTGCACCCGAAATTGCCAGAGACAGTGAGCGGTTGATACACATCAGTCACTTGGAAGTGTCTCTCACCAGAGCCGCTCGACGCAATCATGGAGTATCTCTGGTATCAACTAACCCTCTGTCTCAGCTGTGGTGGTACAGGATAGTCAGCTGTCGATTCTTACTGAAGACTGTTCACATCTGAGACCTAAGATTGGAGACCGCTTGAGCAGTTGGGCTCGACATGAGTTTCTCAGTCAAAATATTTTGATGCACCCGAATCCCACGTCCCTTTAATGGACGTAGCTGCATTGTGAGCAACTATCTGTTTAAAACCTACCAAAGTATGCTCAGATTATTTTGGATATCTAACTGATTTCTATACCAAGACAATTGTCTTCAAATTAAAGGACCCAGGCGGTCTGGATTTGGTCCCATACCTCTAACGAAGATGTCTTGATCCTCATGTTTGCGGGTATCTTGCCAGGATCTGCATATTGAGTTCCTATAATCCACTCCTTCGTGAGAAATGCCAACTGAGTTCGCCGACATGTTCAACTCAGACGGTGCTCTGCATTGACGTCAAGCTATTGTTTCAGGGCGAAGATAAAACCGAAAAGTGAAGTTCCTTCTCCAACAAACACCTTGTCTCAAACCCGCATCCCATCATTCAGACTGAGTCTTTCTTGTGAAGCCTTTCGATGTCTCATAATATTCCATCCTACCGCAGGATTCATATCTCAGTTCCTCAAATCACTCTTACCTCAAGGCTTTATCTCTCTTCTCATTGTGCAAGGGGTGCTCAAGTTCCGCCATCCCTGTTAGAATGCCCACAAACTGGCGCGGTCCCAGCACGCACTTCACTCTACTCAGAGACAATGCCACTCTCCCTGGGGTCTGTATATTGCTTGAATACCTTATGGGACCGGGATCAATCCCTCAAAACGGGCAGTCTGGTTCTGCGATACTATCACTCGCTTGTCATCATTTTGAGCACTTTGTGAACCCGCCATCGGTTCAAACGGCTTAAGATGCGACGCCCCAGACTTTGTTCAGACTTCGCCTTGTTTCCAAGCTGAAGCGTCACTGAAGCGTTACCAGACGCCCAAGTACCTGCACCAGTTGCGACAACCCGTCCGGGATTGCTCTATCCCAGAAGCCATCCACAATTGGTCATTTGAGCTGCTGAGTTTCGAATGTAGCAGTGTGCTAGTGGCGGCTGGGAAACATTCAATTACAACTTGACAATGAAGACTCGGCTATCTTGACATTCTTGTGCGCGTTAAAAAGGCGTAAATGCACAATGTTTTTGATGTATTGAAGTAATCTTCACACAAAGGCCTTGTGCAAGGGGCTCCGCTAATGCTCATAACACAGAAACACGTTTCTAAGGGTAGCATTGTACAGTACAATGCTCAAGGTTGCCATACGATGCTTAACCGACTAGGAACCGCTTCAATTTGGCTTGCTCGACGCGACTTTCCGCGATGCAACGCGGACAGTGCACTAGAGTCAAGAAAGCCAGAAAGAAGACTTAACGGTTACATTGTTGCAAAGCTAGGATAATGAGTCAACTGCAGTGGTGGCTGTCCTGTTTGCCAGACAGATTTTGAGAACCCTCGTTTGATTCAGTTTTGGCAGTCAATCTCAACAACGAATGTCTCGCTCAGACAACAAACAGTAATAGCTTGTTCTTAGCAAACAGAGCAATCCGTAAGAGACACATCTATCCGTCTATAGAGCCCTCTACCTTATTCGAAGTATATATTGCAACATGGGTTTGGATCAATTCCGGGATTCACTTGTTCGCACCCAATCGCCCCGATCAGACTCAATCAGTGGCTCTATTGTTTAGAGCTCCCAACCGTTTGAATAGCTTGACATCCAGCATTGTGAAACCATTCACGAGAACTATAGTTGGAACAAGCACATTATATACAGAAACATACCTTATTTAGATTTACAGAGCGTACTTGCCTACATAGTGCATTCACAATGGGATCACGCTCCGACTTTCACCAGGACCGCGGCGACTCTATAAATACTGTCTTGCCAGTGCGCCCAAAATCATCCACAACCCCAGCTTTGCAAAAACGCAACCAACTTGAAGACGATACACCATATCAATACTCTCTTCCAATTCGAACAATGGCCGGAAAGAAGCGAAAAGCCGAGGAACAGGCCAGTAACGACAACCTAAAACGACCAAACTTGGGACCTGACGGCGTACCAGCAGCAGACAACCAACAGGCAGACCTGCCCGACAATGCATCTTTAACAGCCGATGCCGCTTATGCCGCTTCCAAGGGGCATATGGCCTCAGGGCATGACATGGATGGGCGCATTGCAGCACCGCCCTCCCGCAAGAAGCAGAAGAGTGCCCAGTCAGCGACACCACAGTCGTCAACTGAAGAAGCCGGACAAGCGTCGATAACCACGGGTATGCCGGCCGACGAGGAATGGGAGTGGGACGGCAGTGCTCTCATTCCCGATTCGGAGTTCCAGGTCAAACCAAAGAGCCAAACCTTTGACTTCGGGTACTCAGAAGGAGAAGAGACCGAGGCTGAAGTCCCCGATGAATTGTTGACCCATCAGGAACTTCTGAAGCGAATGAAAAAGCAGCGGATGAGGAAGCAGAATGGTGGAGCGGCACACAAGAAATGAAGAGTGGATTGCGGATTTGGACTTATCTCATCCAACTGTGTGACCAATCGTGGCAAATCCGCTAGGATTTTATTTTTCAAAGTTCAGGCTGACCATTCCCCTACCCGCCAGACTGGCGTATTACTCGAATTCAGATGCTCCGTCGAACGCGGGACCTCCCTCAAGTGCTGTTTATTGACATGACAAGAGCAGGATCGGGAAGAAGTCTTCCTGCATGTTTTATAAAAATGTACTCTTCAAAGAATGTTTAATATTCTCCAATGGTCCGCGGGAATCTCAAGACTGCTGCTACTTCCACCCGTGAAATATTTTAACAATGAAATTGCGCTTAGCGGCAGACGTACTAAACAGTTAACAGCATAATTACCGATGATATGTTTAGTTAGACCAAGTTGGATTAAAAGAAATCCTCCCTTTGTTCATAATCCGGCGCATTAGCAGATCGTCCCGATTCGGCAATTTGGTGAGCTCAGGGAGTCTTTGTTCGAGGCTGGCCTACGGCCACATTTCCTTTGAAGGTGGATTCACATATAATGCTCGCATTCCAGCTGCGAGTATATGAACATGACCATTCTTTCATCTGGCGCCTGGGGTTGCAATCGTCCCGTCGCTTTGTCGCTTGCTTTCTGCCAGAACAGAAACACACATCTCCATCTGCTTGAATTGCTGCTGGTCTGACAACAATGGCTGGCAATGCACCCCGTTCCAACGCTGCTCCGGCCAGAAATACAGATACACTACCTTATAGTGTAACTGCTGCCAGAAACGTCACATTCCAGTCTTTGGTCAAGAGTCTTGAGAAAAGCATACAAGCGGCGAACAGACCACGTGAATCAAATAAACTTCCCAGAGTGGAAGAGAGATTTGATGCCGAACAAAGACATGAAGAATTGCGTCCTAAGTATGACCGGAAGCTGGAGGAGGATGAAAAGGCCAAGATGAAGAGAAGGACACGTCACAAAAGTAAAAAGGCGGACCAAGTTGGGTATCAAGCTCCAGACACCGCAGATAACGCCGAAGATGAGAACGGCAGCGTGGACGAGGAACTCATAACCGAGGAGGAGATTAAAGAGCTTTTTGACATAGAGAAGAAGAAAATATTGTGGCGACAGTGGGACGGTTCAACGGCACATCAAGACAGGATTCATGCTACTGTCAAGCTGGAAGATTTCCTGTATTGGCAAAATCCAGATTTCCGCGTGAAGCGCATCGCTAATCTACACGAAGCGGAACCTCCATTCGGATATAGGAGGCAGCCAGCCCATGAAGCTAGACGATCGGTGCCCGTCGTCATAGGAATGGCAGATTACCCACCAATGGAATGGCGGCGGCAGATCCTCGACTACTTCGATAAGCACGAAGTTGGAGGCTACGGTCTGAAAACAGAGGACACTAAGTCCAAGAAGAAGAGAAAGGGTGCGGACTTGTCGCGGAAACTCTCCCCGTCGAGCATTCCTCCGGGCGAACTCCACTTATGGAACCCCAGGGCCCGGCGTATCAGGACTGGTACTGGGATGTACACAGATAAACTTTCTCCTCGTGCTTTAGACACCCGCATTGACTTCGCTGCCCTCGAGAAGGTCAGGCAAGAAATTGAAAATAATCGTGGGGAAACAACGTCTAACCCAGAGATGACGCATTCCGAGCGTCGGTTACAGGAAATGCAACTTTTAAGTTCGGATAAGACTGTTCTTCGAACACGAAATCTCCACAACATTGAACAAGGGACAGCGCGAACAGCTACAGGCCTCTGGATATCCGCGGCAGAGACATCGGACGATTGGTTGACTTCTTATGACATTGATAGGAGGGAGCGGCACGACGAAGTCGGGGAACTACCCTCATCCCCTTTGGACAAACAAGCAACCGATCTGTACGGAAGCTCCCCAGACAAAACGCACCGCCAGACGGCAGCTACCGTTGGCCATCCATCAACGCAGCGGGCTCAGAATCAAACTGTGAATGGATCAGCGTCGACCGGGCAAAACAGTAAACAAACCCTTACACAAGGTTCACAGCCGAATCTGATGACGGCTGCAACTCCACCAAACCCAAATCCTGAAGCGGATGACGATGATGGTGACCTGTTTCGACAAGCCTATGAGGCAGGTACGCAGGCAATCAGAAACAAGCGTGCGGCGCTGCAGCAGGAAGAAACTGAGGAAAACCCGTCGCCGGCCAAGAGACCCAGGATTGAGGAAGAACAAAACGGGGAGAAGATCGTTGTCCCGTTGACAGATAAGACACCCGAGGTCCCTCAGCCCCCTGCAGAATAAGTAGCTACTGCAAGAGAGGCAGACTACTTCCATGAGGGACAATTCTTGTAGACCCCTATGTGGGCTCGAAACTTAGTCGCGTGCAGAATGGCTTATAGCACATAGCGCTCAAGTGCTGACGGCGGTTGGATTGTTATGATTTTCTCGTACTCACTGAATATCTTTGAAAAGTCTTCATGATTATATAGCGTCAAGTGCGCCTTCCCCAAGGATTTCGAAAATGGAAGACAGATACAACATATATTATATATATCTCTACTCTCTAGCCTATCGTTACTTCCTTGGACATAGCTTCAATGTTTCTCTAGAGTATTTTGTTTCAATACATCAAATCACTTAGCTTCTCTAACCCTAACGTATCGGGGCGTGATTTCAATGGCCACAACTCACATACTTGGTGGTGAATACGCGACCAGGCCTAACCTTCGTCGTGGTTTCGTCCAGGAACGCCATATCCAGAAGTCAACTCCGTAAGACAGCGTGGAACAGGTCGAAATCGCACCCCGCGCCCGGGACGGAGAATAAGGTAAACTGATTGGTGAGGATAACATGCCTACAATTGGAGTACATGCTCCAATAACTGTGTTTTGGTGGTGCCGATGTAACGAAAGGACTTGAAGATGGATTCTTCTCTTTATCAGATGCGACAAGCTTGCTCCCTGTCTCTACGAGAAGAGAGGGTGTCATCAGTAGCGCATGCTGATCCATGCGATGGGAGCTCACGAGGGGAACAGACATCTGGAGTGGACAATGGTATAATGTGTGCAAGTCAGTCGATTGATTGAACGCCGCCACGTACCGGGAGGAAATACACAGAACCTTAAGAATCTACTATCATTGACACTTTGGCAGCGTAGAGCACGAGTTGTTACTCTACTGTATACAAGTAAATGCATATGAAAGGGCGGCTTATATAAGCAACGTTAAAGCTGTCGGGGTCTGTGCGTAACTTAATTCAATTCAGAGCTTGCCCTTCCCATGGCCACCTCCCCTCACCACATCATTAATACATTCCAGGCCCTTTGTAGTATGTCTGAGTGAATCATCACCGATAGAGCCCCGTTTTTCACATCGACTTTTGCATCATGACACCCCACTCTCGTTCTCCCTTTCTCTTGCTCCCGGTCGAGGTTCGCCTCAACATCTATCGACACCTTTCCGACTGTATCGATTTGCACATTACGTCTCATGGCGACCACCTTCGCATGACGGCTTGCACGCAGCCACTTTGTGAGCAAGATCCGTGGCAGACAGGTCTCGAACGTTATGAGGCGCTGGATCCGCCCTTGCTTCAAGCACTCATCGCCGGACATAATCCAACAAGCGGCGGAGTGGTTGAGAGCACGTCCCTTGCCGGATATGAGGAATGGGTACGGCGTCTGAGTTCTTCATGGGGCTCCCATTGGCAATGCGAAGAGATCGCATTGGGTGCGAAAGGGAAGCACAGGATACAACATCCATTCTCGGCCTTGCTACATGTCTGCAGAGTAATGTTTGTTAAACCCTCCCTTTCCGGCCTCGCCACTAACCCTTTGACAGCCACGATGAGATCATCGAGACTTTAGCTCGTCGCGCGGTTGTCAATGTTACTGATCTACAAACGCTGGCCAGGATGGCTGAGATATGTTCCGAGCTGCTTCATAGAAAAGCGCCTTTATATACTCCCGTCTCGAATCTGCTTCCAACACTGAGAAAGATCTGCATCACTCTCGTCTTTCCCTTCAAAGTGCTTAGAGAGATGGCAAATTCACCCGAATGGAGGGCCTGGCGGGACGCCAATAATTCCAGGGATGGAGCAGGTCATTATCAAGGTAGCTCATACTTGCACACAGACGGCTGGCGGGTATGGGAGCAGCTCGACGCAGTCATCACCAGCTTCCCAGAGCTGAGGAGCCTTGAACTCTGGCTTGACCATGGGGATGCCGATTATTCCTGGATCGACGCAAGAGAGCGGCATTTGATACACTACTTGTTCCCACTAGCCGCGATTCCGAAGCTGCAAGTTTCCCTGCATCTTCCTAAGATCTCGCCATTTTTTGCACGGCCCGATTACCATTTCATTGAAGGAGGTGCTCCGTCACCATTTAAGATCCGCCGCAGACTACGCCAAATCTTCTTGGTTGGCGTGTTCACTTCTGATTGGGGAGGAAGTTGTTCTATATCTCCACTTGTCATTTTTAGACCCGAATTTCCCCTGCTCGTACATCAAATCGAATTTCAAGATTGGCCCAAGGATGTTGTTGAGGAGATGGAACGACGAGAATTAAAGAATGGATTCTATACACATCTACGTGAGCTCCCACGGGAAGCGTCGGTCGCTTACTATCTTGGAAGACTTCGACAGATTTCGCGCGAGGTGGAAGCCGCGTCTTCTGCAGATGTTGCCAGGGATGGAAACGTGAAAGAAGTTCAGTAATACCCGGTCTTCCACTGGAAAATTATTTGTAATTTCGGCTTTGTACTGTGGATAAGCGGGGAAAGCTTGCCTGTTTTGAAGAGACCGGGAACTGTGGTCATGTCAAAATCAAAGGCAATACAATGTTCTCTGTCCTCATTCTATGTGAGTCTATTCTATGATATGCAAGACATGGCGAGGCACAACTGAGGGTGCCACCCCGCACCTAACAGTTGGTGCTCAATTTCTTTCGACCTGATGGTCAACCGCGCCCTTCATGTCTTCCAAGACGTGTGGATCCTCTTCCTTCCCAGCCTGGCCTCTGCTTTGACGACTCTCAGCAGTCTCTACGAGATGAGGATCATCCGCTGTAGATGTCTCCGTGAATACGAACTGGCGTAGCTCACAGTTTTTCCATGCCGTCTCAGACAAGTAATCAATCATACCGCCAAGGTCTTCCGTGAGAAAGTGGACAAAAGCGCCATGAGTGACGAGAATGACCTGGTGCTGCTCAGAAAGGCTGTTTCAGTGACGGAAACACGAAGACTTACCCGCTTCTCTGGCCTGGTATATAACCACTTACGCAAATCGGCGGCACGTCTTCCTATTGCCTCCTTATTCCAGGCCCAGTACCCGGTCTGGAGCATGTTAGAGCTTCTGCCAACTCACACAGAGAACCATCTACCTTGCTGTTCCATCCGTCTTTCACATTGCTGAGATCCAGCTTGTTGATATCGAATCCCAGGTCATCTCCCTCGAAAAGCGTTTTCAATTCTTCTTTCAACTGAGCTGGCGGAAGTCCCTTGTCGCTGTTATGCGAACCAACCTGAAATACAAGTTAGATTGTTGTAAGTCCCGGTGTGCCAAGACACCCACCTCTTGGGCTTCAGGGACAGCAACGAATGGCACACTTCGCGCCAAAACAGGGCCAAAGCTTAAAGATGCGGTCTGAATGGTGCGGCGCAAAGGGGATGTAACGACAAGATCGATTTTGTCATGATCTTGGAATGATTCGCATAACGCTCGGCACTGGTCTTTTCCTTCTGGTGTGAGAAGGGGATCTAAGATGTTAGGATTACCCTGCTGCCGTGTTATTACATCTATATCCGTTTCCGCAGTTGGGCGATGTTTAGATTTTGTGCACGTACCGTGAGATTATGGAATCCCTGCCCGTGACGGACGATGTAGAGGTGGGGAGGCATGACTGTTGCTACAGGTTATCCGTTATGGAATGTTGTTTGGAGAAGATGTCGCAGGTTTTTGGTGCCATAAAATGGGTGCAAACTTTGTCCGCGGCCGCAAGAAACTAGGTATGACTGTAATACTCGGACCCCACAGGGCAGATTATGTGAACCAATCGTATTCGCTAGCTATACGAAGATCCTCCGCCAACGGACTAGTACTAACTCTAGAGTTTCTCGGTCGTCTATTTTAACCTCCAATGTTTTGACGTATCTGCAGCACATGTACACTCAAAATAAATCCTGTTTTTACATAGGTATATACTCAGTAAGATGAGGCAGACCTGGGGATACCTTGAAGACAGCCTCAGCAACCTATTACAACATTGATTCCGGGTCCGTCTTTCACCGTACTCATGCCTTGAGCCACTGCATTTCCTTCCATCCCGGGAGAGACTAGAGCATGTCAGTCAGATTGGTTTCGGCAAGACCTGTGAACATGAGGAAATCACTTCACTCGCAGGTGGCTGCGGATACTTCAAGAATCTGAGAATACAATCAAGTGGGAATGAATGACATTGTTAACATCCAAAGGAAGGAACGCAGGATCCCCGTCTGTCGTATGCCTCTCCTGCCGGTTGGATCCTCCTTCAGACAACTCTGCGCGAGAACAATACAATACATTTCCCTTATCCCTCTTTCCGATCCAGCCACTCCGTTCAGATACGAGATACCGATATCTTAGACCTCGCAGTGGCACTTGCAGTGGCTCTTGAATGGATTCGTGCAATCGCCTCCGTCAATGGCGGAACCAACAGTGCCGGCCTTGCAGCCTTTGTTGTAAGCCTCAGAGCGGCAGGCGGCATTGCAACGGCCGCTCCAATCGGTGCGGCATCCACCAGAAGCGTTCCAGCGGATGATGGCGCGCTTGTCAAACTCGGCGTTGGCCTCACGCTGAACCAAGTCAGCGACCTCGGCGACGGCGTTGTCGGCGGGAGTGGGTGAGGCGAAAGAGGTAGCGGCAAGGGCGCTGAGGAGACCGAGAATGAATTTGGGATGCATGATGATGGTTGGAATGGAAGCTGTGATGACGTGAGTTGATTGTCAAACTCGTGAACCTGGTAGTGAACTGACCTGGAAGCTTTGGTTGTTTGAGGTTGCTTTGCTTTTTGTTGCTGGTCTGCGCTGGAGAGGATGGTGATCCAAAGCGTGCGTAGTCTGTTGCTTTTATATCTTTTTCTCGTCTTCCTTTGGACTCCGAATGCGAAGAATCCGGTGAAGTACACTGGCACGGCAAAGTCAGTACGACCGAACGCGGAGACCAAGAAAATATTTCATTTATTTTAGGTGGCACAGAAAACTGGACTACGGTGATTCAACTCAGATCTAATCCCTTCCAACCAGAATTGGCAAACAAGGCCGCCGACACTAGATGCCTCACGGTCTCGATTGGTCAAGGCATTGTCATACACGAGAATAGCTGAGCCGTTGCCAATCGGAGTTCAGATGAAGGAACCGTCAGTACGAGTTTGTTGTGACGTCCCGTTCGCCTCAGCAAACTGCGGCCCTGGTATGTTGAGCTGCCTGTCAACCGATCAGCTCACCAAGGGACCAAGAATGAAAGAGGGACCGGGAGTTCCTGGCCAGATGGGGATGCGATGACGGAGCCGAGAGTTGGACAATCAACTACCCATGACCGGTATTCATGGCGAGCGTAATGGCCATTAACAGCGTTGAGACGCCGTAGACAAGGTGGTAAGGCAGGGGCAGACCCTCAATATCCTCTGTTGTCCAGCCTTATTGACCATCTGAGAACTTGCCTACGCTAACTTTCGGTACATGGCCACGCTAATGGCCCAGTTGCGGAGACTATGCGCCGATGTCCAATTGGTTGATCCATCCTGTATTGCCCCGGGCAGTTCCTATTGCAAGCATCACCCTCATGAGACCGAACTCGTCGAAGTTGCCGCCTAGAATGAAGACCGTAGCCAAGCAGACCACGCCATTTGACATCTGTTGAACCGTGTTGAACGGACAGTACCTTCGGCCCGGAACAACATCATGTCACTCTCACGCTGCCAATGCCGATGTAAACAGCCCCAACATATTGAGCCTCCCCAGCAATGTAGCAGGAACCCAAACCCCCAACAGCCTCGCATAATTATACGATCTACTAGCCAGATCTAGTTGAAGGGGCTATGCACAGCTGATCGCGAGGCTGTACGCCGGTGTAGGTAGGCAACACGAGCCCCTCCCTCAAACGGTGTAGACTACATCCGTTTCGCGAGGCGAAACTCGGTGGCGTGAAAATCGGTCGACAAGCACGAAGCCTAACTGTGGAACAGGCAAACAGAATGTTGATCGTGCAGCCTTACGCCTACCTTCTGATTTTCCTGACACTTACTTGGTAGACAACCCTGGGAATGGACGTTTGCCCTTCGACCTCTCCCCGGTCGTCAGCCGATTTTCCGTAGACCCCACGACCGGAAGTTCTACGGGCCTTCTCGTCACCCGAACAAGATCAAGCTTCACGGAGCACTCACCCAAACCGGTTCATTGGGATGTTGGCCAAAGCTCATGTTTTAATATATATGTGTGTAACGTCCCATAGCCCCAGCACGTGTCTCCCTCGCACTCCCCTCCTAATCCAGCACGAGTCTACCAACACCATCCCCAAGCATCATTACCCCGGTAGGCGACACTGACCGTGCATCGATACGAAGGCTGCATAGATCTCAGATCTAGACTAGCTGCAAGGGCCAACGCCTTTTGCCTTTCCCAGCTCTAGCCTACCGTATCCCATCTATCTTACACTTCTCACATCCATGTCCAGCTGAAAACCAAAATCTACAGTGTATGCCGGTAGGAAACCGATACGGCGTTTTCCGTATTCAAGCTTGGAAGGTGAGTGAGGTCGACCCCACATTATTCACCGGGAAGGCGATTTCCATCGGCCGTTGAATATCGAGGTGCTCGCTAATGGTTGTACATGAGGAAGGATGCAGGGTAGGTATGGCAATAGCGGCGGGGGTGATGTATGTAGAAACAACGGAGCTGAAACACAGATTTGTATGGTAGAGACTCTCCTCGATGGAGGAGGGATGGGGCAAGGCAAAAAAGGCCATTTGGCTCAAGAGCTAAGCGACGAGGCAGTACGGCTGTTGGGTTGCTTCAGCTTCAGTCTTCCGTTCGAAATCGGGTTTCGTAAAAGTACGGATTGTGATGCACGGCAGTGAAATGTTCGTAGGATGAGGGAGTTTGCGTCCCTTCCATAATGCGTATGATAGAGCAAGTGACAGTGCAATGTCTCGAGCCATTCGGAAAATGTAAATTCGGTACCCAGGCATCATGTGGCCCATTGTGGTCAGCCAACGCCGAACTGCCAACTCCGCGAGACAGAATGCAAAGCCCAGATGCACCCCAACTCCTTCGCCATGAACCACCTATGAAACTAAACCCTGGCGCCAGCCATCACCTGTACACGAAACCTAAGCCTTAACCTTAGCGCGACCACGACCATTCACCGTCTTCTGCTTCTTGGACTTTGGCGGAGGCGAAGCTTCCTCCTCTTCCTCCTCCTCCTCCTCCTCCTCCTCCTTGCTCTCCAGGTTGATACTTTCGCTGTCGTCATCCTGATCGTCTTCTTGCACCACCTTCATCTTGCCGCGAGGAGCACGGGTCGCACTCGCTTTGCTCTTTTTTGCATCGAGTTTCGCCCTCGTAGCCTGGAATGCCTCCTCGCTAGGTTCGTCCACGCGAGCGCCCCTCTTCTTTCCCCGGGACTTTCCTCCATACTTTGCCTCCAAATTATCGATCAAGTTCCCAATATTCCCCATGCGCGCCTTCTGCCTCTGCTGTATGAGCGCCGCGAGACCCGCCATACCGCCATCAGCACCTTGCTTCCCCTTCGCTTTCTGCTTCGCCCTCGCCTTCTCGGCCGCCTCCTTCGTACTGCCATGTCGCTTGTCAAACTCCTCGCGCCTCTTGCGCTCCCGCTCTTTTGCCCTCTCCCGCGCAGCATCATTGTTAATCCGCTCATACGCCTCAAACCTCTCCACCGAGCCCTTCTCAATCTCCTCATCAATGATCCTGCGGAACCGATCATCGTCCTCGAGAATATCACTCAGCATCACCGTGCTATACACCCTGTCCAGGTTGCCTTCAAACTGCGTGTACGCATCCAAGAGATCCCGCCTCTCCCGCGCACTGCCCTTGTACTCGTTCGCAACATTCTGGATGCTCTCCTCCGTGACCACATTCTCGAACTGCTCGCGGTAGAAGCTCAGCCAGTCGAAGTCCGGATCGTCGGATACGGATTCGGAGGTACTCCCCGTGCGGTCGTAGCGCTCGCGCCGTGCGGAGTCGGAGAGGACGACGTAGGCGAAGGCAATCTCTTGGAAGGTTTTGTTGGCGGCGGCTTTTTCGGATTCGGGGACCTTGTCTTGTGGGTTTCGTTAGCTTTTGTGGTGTATGCGAAGTGAGGGGGCGAGTTGCGTACCGGGATGATGTTTCAGTGCTAGCTTGCGATAGGCCTTCTTGACGTCGTCTTCTGTGGCGGTCGTTTCGAGGCCGAGCACCGCGTACGGGTCGATGCTGGGCGGTGCGTCGTCCATTTCCTCGTCGAAGTCGTGATTAAAGGCCTCCTCTTCGCTCTCTACGGGCTGCTTCTTTTGTCGGCGCGGCATTGTATTGATGTGAGGGGAGAGACGAGGTAAGTGGGCAGAAGATCGAGAAGAGAGAAGATCGTAAAGTAAGAGGAGGGAAGTCGAGAACTAAGAGAAGAGACGATCGAAAGGTAAGAGTAGATTGCGAAGATCAAAGGTGAGTGAACCTTGGAACTGAAGACGCGTTTCCGCTGGTGGCGCACGCGTTGAGCCACGCGCATTAGCGCGATCTGATCGGCTCAGGATCGACGGCCAAGCTTTAACGTGCTTAATCAGCCAACGCACGGTCTCACTCAATGCACGATTTTTGGATAGTCGCCATCTACAAACTTGAAGCTGTAGAGCTGTATATATATTGTAAAATGGTAAGATTTTTTGTAGTAATAATTAGAGCGCCCCAAAGAGAATCCTATGGTCTCATTGGCTACCTAAAGTGCTCAGGGAGGTGGATTTGGCGGCTGCGCATTGAGGAGCCAGCATTAGGCACCTCAACTTCAACAGGCAATAACTCAGGCTCAGCAGGCTCAATATCCTTAGGTCTTTTTGCTGAAGCCTTACAGCTACACTGCTTACCCTTTTTGGAAGCTTTGAGCTCATTGCGGAGTTGATTTTCAATTGCCCGAGCCTCCCGAAGTTCTTGAGCTTGAAGAGCCTTCTGCTCATGTGCCTGAGCCTGCTCTATTTTAGCAGCAGCTCTCTCGCGCCTCCTCTCCTCAAGCGGAGCTACTTTTTGAAGCTTTAGCTCCTCTCTCCACTTACTATCCTTATCTTTTTGAAGCTGTACAGCCTTCTCCTCAGCATCTTTTTCTATCTAGTGATTACAAGCTTTCTGCACCTTGGATGAGGACTAGAAAATAGCTCCACTATTATAATCCTCCGGTAGCTCGAGTAGGAGAGTCTTGCCTCTTTTGCGGCACTTTTTCTCATTGTGTAAGACCTCGCAGAGCTGCTTAACTTTATGCTTAAGGATTGTTTTCTGAGCTACAATTGTATGAATTGTATGAGAGAGCTTTGCAGTCTTTGAATCGTAAATATCTTCGACAACTTCCCGTAATAGAGTCTCAATTTTTCGCTAGTTACTCGCACTGAGTACTGATGAGCTGCTGCTGCTTGAGGATGGACGTTCATCCTGGCGGGCCTTAAGCTGGGTAAGGATTCTCTCCAGATTAAAGGGAGCTAGCCCAGTGGCCTCAAAGACCTTCAGGATAGTCGTTTTAGTTAAAGCGCTATCCCAGGCAGCTCAAAATAGCTGCCAAAAGTTCCTCTTTGTAATACTCAAGAGCTCTTGGCAACTGTGTAAAAATTCAGTGAGACAGAAGCTGTACATGCTTGTGAGTAGCCCAAAGATACATATATCTAGTGGCTGAAGCGTGTGAGTACTGTGAGATGGAAATACAGCTAGTAGGATCTTGTTAGCCTCATAATAGTCGATAAAACTCATTGTCACATGAGATCCATAGCTATCGAGGATCAAGAGCCTCCAGGATATCCTTGTCTTAGCCTTAGTCTCCCGATCAAAGACCATTTTGAGCCAGCTAAGCCTAATATCGTGATTAGTCCAGCCTGATATAGATGAGGTGAAGTAGGCCTCATCCTCTTCTGGGTTAAAATCTTGCACTCAGGTGTCCTGTATATTATCTGAAGCTGTCTAGTAAATCAGGCTTGGCTTTAGTGCTGAGCCATCGGTGCAAATACAGGCTATTGTTGTAATCCACTCTCTGTTGCCATCCTGGAGTGTTTTTCTGAGCTTTCCATCATCATATAGGCTTCGGGTGAACAGCCTTTTTGACTTGCTGACCATCCCAATAAGGAAGCTCTTTTCATCCATATTATATATATGCTGGCTGTCGACCTTATATTCCTCGATTTTGCATTTCAAGAGCTCAAAGTATAGGCTATATTTCTATACTGAATTGGCGTTTTGGCATGCAGTGCTAATCCCAGAGCTCTAGCGTGATATAAGCTCATCTTGGTAGCACTTCACAAAATGGGAAACCTAGCTCTTGCCCATAGACTTTCCAGCGATTTCTGACGCAAAGTTTCGTATCATTTGACTTGTAGAAGGTAGGCTAATCTTATTAAGCTTCTTAATATACTCTATAAAGGCTCTTTCCTGTGAGGTGTTGAGATTTCGATGATTGGTAATGTTCTCAGCATTGGATTGATGGACCCCATGATGGTGCTTTGGCAGAGTTGAGCGCTCAATACCGTACTCTGCAGCAATTTGAGTATAATTAACCTTTTCTTCTGGTTCCAGCGAAGCTATTGCTGCAAGAGCTAAGTCAATAGCTGCCATATTGACTGAGTTATAGTGGGTTGAATATTTGACGATTTTTCGCCAAATCGTGCTTTGAGTGAGACCGTGTGTTGGCTGATTAAGCACGTTATTTAGTGGTGGTCATAGCTCCATGCTCATCTTCAACTCCGCGCACGTCCAGGAGATCTCAGTGCTTCCCCTGGCACCATTCACTCCTCCTCCGCAACGATTGATAGATTGACTTCTTTGGATTGTTCTCGCAGTAATGGCTGCCAGCAATCACATCTCATACATGCGCCAAGCGCTCGACGAAGCCCGCAAATCCCCGCCCAAGCCCAGCAACTACCGCGTTGGCGCGCTCCTCATAGACGCCTCGTCCAGCACCGTAATAGCTACCGGATATACATTAGAGCTACCAGGAAACACACACGCAGAGCAATGCTGCTTGCAGAAATACGCCGAGTCTCACGGCGTCTCAGAGGAAGAAGTCGGCACGGTGCTACCCGAGGCTACGATACTGTATACGACCATGGAGCCGTGTAACCTCCGATTAAGCGGGAACCTGCCCTGCGTGGAGCGGATATTAAGGACGAGGAGGAAAGACGGAACGCTTGCGATAAGTACCGTTTACGTCGGCGTCAGCGAACCCGAGAAATTTGTGGGGGAGAATCAAGGGCGGAGGAGACTGGAAGATGCTGGAGTGAAGGTTGTGCATGTTTCAGGGCTGGAGGAGGAGATTTTGGAAGTGGCTACCGCTGGTCATGAGAAATGATGACTTCGACAGACATAAGAGCCGATCACATTTCCCAGCCAATTCGAGAAGAGACTCGTCTGTTGCGTCGTAGACCGATTCCTGATGTCCTCTCCTAATAATGCACTGGCTACGCCAGCTATTTGCGGGCCGCACCGCTACGGGTTTGCAGCCAACGAGCTGCGTTGTTGACTGCGGCTGGACGGGGCCCATGGTCTCGACTTGGTGTTGACTAAGGAGTGTTGATCAAGGACAGGCATTTGCAAAGTAAGTTGCGCAGCGCATGGTTTCCTCTGCACAAAATGCTGACTGCTAGTGTGAGGTTCGTCGGTAATCCATCGAGGAAAAAGTTCATAAAATGCCGTATAACTCATTATTTCCTCGGTCATACGAATCCATCTCTCAAATACCAACCCCTTCCAAACGCCGAACACTCATCACATAACCCAAACCCATATCAGAACCACTGGAACATCCTTCCCAAAGCAACCTGCAACCCCAGCACAATGCTCAAACCCATATAACTCAACAGTCGCCAACTAACCACCCCCTCACTCACAACAAGGATAACGCCACAGTCACCTTGCCTCGTCGTCGGCAAGCCCGGTCCCTTCGCCGTCAAGGTGCTGCAGAACCCCTGCTGATAGGGCTGCTGTGGCTCCTGCACTACGAGGGCGGTAATGGTCGGTCGTTGGGGTTGCGGGTAGGCGTAGACAGTCACGGTGGAGACGCTGGCTTGGTTTAAAGGGCCCGCGCACGAAGAGCCAGAGGGGCAGCAGCCTATGAGGCCGTTGGAGGAAGCGGGGACGGCGCAAGTGTACGAGTTGGGGCAGCACCTATATCCGCAGATCAGAGGGGATTCAGACAGTGTCCAAAGGTATGGCCCACCAGCTGGGTTGATTGATCGTGCCACAGCTTACTGGGGCTTGCGCTGGGCAGAGGTTCTGGTCTACCCCGGAGGTATAGGTGATGGGTTGGCCGTCAGTATTGACAATATAGATTGCGCCGGAGAAAGGCGCATTATTTGTGAACTGGGGAAGAGGGTCTGGATCAGGGTCTGGTCGAGGTTCGGGGTGTGCGATGGTGAGAGGAAGGCTGGAAATAAAGAAGCTGAGAAAGAAATAAGGCGGTAGGCGCATCGCGACTTGGAATCTTAATCTTGTAGAGGGTACGGAGGATGGGCGATGGTATTCTAACGTAGACTGAGGCTCAAGCTTCCCCTCTGTGAAGGTTAGTATATCACACAAAGCCGGGCGAAAGAGCACCAGTCGCGACTGCTACGACATCAATCCAAACCACGCTGGATGTACCACCGCGCGTCTTATGACTGATTCGCCCATTTTCGAGGCGGCGAAAAGCTGACAATTCGCCCGGGATTCATTCAAGCAAGCGTCGGTCAGTCTCATGGGGGCATGCCATGCCATGCTCTCGGGCCACGAGGTCGGAATCTTTGGGCTTGCAGGAGGGCTGCAGACCGCCTCGATGGGGCGTTCGTCAGGTTCCGGCAGGGCGCCTGCTTGCGTGGATGAGTTGCTTGGCTGTTTGCTGTTCATTTGTGTCGAGTATCTCCCAAGAGCACGGGCAATCAGCAATCAGTGTCACTTCATGACTTGGTCCGTCACTTTGAAGTCGTGGAGCGATGTAGCTGAAGCTCAAGCACCCGGCATGTTCATTCTGGGTCCGGCGCATTATCGACTGGCCGCGTCAGATGCAGGACTCGGGCAACAGAGGGAAAGATGATGGAGGGGGAGTTGTCTTGCATGTGCTGCCATCATCCGTCATCTGGCAGACATCAGGCTAGTCCGAATATGGAGCGTTAACTAGGTATGCCAAGCTGAAGTCATGTGCTTTCGCGTTCCCTCGCGTCAGCTCTGCCAAACCAACCCCGCGTCCCCATCTCTTCACCATCATTTCATCCGCTTGCACTGTGCAGCCCGCAATATGACATGTCCACGCACATCAGTCCGAATTATAAACTCTACCCCGCTTATTGTTTCCGCATCTCGCCTACCTACGATGCCTGGGTGAAGATGACGGCTGCCGACGTGCAGGCGCTCCAGACCGTTCCCGAGTTTCAAGGTACGCTGGAGATATCTACTGTATCATCATGCAACCACTTCAGACAATACCTCATCCTGCTATCTCAATATCTGTAAGGAAAATGACTTTGTGCTGATATATAGCACCGACCAGGCCAACGCATCTACTTCCATCTCAACCACCCCATCCGCTACATCTGCCTCGTCGGCCTCATCGTCGCCATCGACGACGTCAATCCCCGCTACACGATCTTCACGCTCGACGACAGCAGCGGTGTCACGATTGAAGTGAAAATAATCCGTCTTAGGCCTGATGAATATGACCCCGCCCAGAGCCCGTCTAACACTATGGTCGAGAACGTAAATGTGTACAGTGGTTTAGGGAACTTTGCGGTCATGGTCAACGGTGAGGAGATCGACGTCGGGACAGTGTTAAAGGTGAAAGGCACTATTTCCGAGTTCAGGGGGAATAAGCAGGTCGAGTTGAAGAGGGTTTGGATCGTCAAGACGACGGATGAAGAGGTGAAGGCTTGGCTGGAGACGGCCAGGTTCAAGAAGGAGGTGTTGGATGTGCCGTGGCATATCACGAAAGGGGAGCATAGGAGGATTGTAGTGGCGGAGAAATATGAGAAGAAGAAGAGGGCGGAGAAGGAGAGGCTGCAGAGGGAGTATGAGGAGAAGAGGATGGAGCGGAAGAGGAGGAAGGAGAAGGAGATGGCGGAGAGGGAAAGGAAGCTGGAGATCAAGAGGAAGCAGGAGGAGATCATCATGAACGAGGGCGCGCTGATATAAAGTGCGGGCCAAACCAGCTCCTCTGGGTATCATTCTTGCGCTATTTGAAACGCTTATCTCGACCACCATCTACCTCCTACCATACCAACCGATTCTACGTCTTCCACTTCTTCGCCTTCTTCGCTTCATACTTGACCCCCGCAGCCTGCAAAACGGCCACGCGCACCGCGTCAACCCCGAGCCGTTTCCCATCGACCAGAATCTCCGAACTCACAGTAAGCAACTCGCCCAGCGCACCCGCCGCATTTGGCGGCTTCACATCATCCCTCATGGCCTCCATCGTCTGCGCCAGCTGCCTTGCGGATCCAAAAGGCTGTACAGCATGCTTCGCCTTCAAATCATTCCGCGTCATCTCCTTGCCCGTCTGCGGCAGATAGATCTTATCCAGCTTACTGAGAATGACCTGATGAGGCACGCCGGCCATGCGCAAACTGGCCAACAGACTCCTATCCCTGTCCTTGATCCCGACTCCCGCGTCAATCAGGACAAACACGCGCCGCAGTTGCTTCCGATTGACGAGATATTTCATGATTTCCGGACCCCACTCGCTCAGACTTCCCTCGCCGTAGCCTGGCAGATCGACAATCAGGAGCCCCCCTATCCCTACGATGCGATCATGTCCGTTGTTCTTCCCCTTGCGTATGCGCACGCCGTCCATGGGCCCCACGCCGTAAAGATTCAGCGTCCTGGTACAGCCAGGCGTCTTACTCGTGCGCGCTAATCCATTCCTTATATCTGCGCCGACCAGCGCATTCAGCAGCGAACTCTTGCCCACATTGCTGCGGCCTACGAATGCCACCTCTGGGACGTCGGAGTCGGGGAACATGCGGAAGAGGGCGACGGAGCGGAGGAATTGCGGTTTCGCGGCCTTGGTGAACCATGTGTCTGCTGCGGTCTTTTGGGCGGAGGTAGGAGGGATGGTTTCCCAGTACCAGTGCATGGAGTCGGTGAGTTGGACGGAGGGAGGGGATTTGTCTTTTGATTTCCTTGTAGGCTTGGGTGGAGATGGAGGTTTTGGTTCGGGGAAGGACTGGAAGGGGTCTCTGGATGGTGGAGAAGGCCGAAACGTGGATTGCGGTTCTGAGGTTGGGCTTGTTTCTGGAGGATGTTCTTGATTTATTTCTGCGGTCGTTGTTGGAAATTCATAAGTCTCAGATGTCGTAGGCGCTGGCGATGTTCTTCCTGGAGCAACAGGTACTCTGGCGGTGGGTCTTGCGCGGAGACGGGTACGAAGACCGCGCGTTTGCAGGATCGGTCGCGTCTGTGCATGGGGTCGAAACTGTAGTCGTAGAGTACGTATACAGCCATTGCAAATAAACTGCGCGGTTATCGAAGTGGACGCCATGGCTTCAGTGTCGTTGAACAGGGAGATGTTGATGTCTGGCAGTCGTGAGGTTGAATGCGTGAAAACTCGGTGGTCCGTGCACAAAAACCTCGGAGGTCCGCAATTCACCCCGTCCCCAGAGTTTCATTGACTTCACCATTGCACTCTCCGTCTTCTACTCCATTACTTTTCCCGCCTCTCGCCGTCTAAACAATCATACTCATCCCACGACATACATATCCTCCCATCTACGACTTCATCCTCCTACATTACAAATAAACTAGTCCACCATTTGGACATATATCCACATATACATATCCAACCATGGCCGCCCCCTCACGCACCCACCTCCTCTCCCTCTACCGGCACCTCCTCCGCGAACTCCCCGTCCGCCAACCCAGCACCACCACGACGACCGCACAAACCCCCGCCCGCTCGCGCCTCTCGTCCCCCTCGGCGCTGCAAACCCGCATCCGCGCCGCCTTCGCCTCCCAACTCGCACAACCCGCTCAGAACGACACTCAAACCCAAAACCAAAACCAAACGCAAAAGCATAGCCAGAATCAGAATCAGAGGCAGAGGCAGAGCAGCCACGCAGCACTAGCGCAAGCCCAGCTCGCGGAGCAATTCGTAAAGTACGTGGCGGCGCAGAGGCAGTACGTGACGCTGGTGGAGCGGTATAATCCGGGGCTGGGGATGAGCGAGGAGGATCGGGTGCGGTTGACGGCGAGGCGGGTGGGGATGGATATGCCCGAGGAGTGGTATGGGAAGAAGTAGTGGGGATGCGGGTGTGTGTAAGGGGGTGAGGAGGGGGAAGAGGTAAAGGGGGAGGGGGAGAGAGGAGGAAGAGAGGGTCCGAGTTTTGGATTCTGGATGGGAAAGGGAAACGGAAGAGGGAAAAGAACAGAAATTGAAAAAAGGAGGAGAGGACAGTGAATTAAGGGGAGGGCTTGGGGGGGAAAGATGGACTTGAAACCTACGCCCTCGTGCAAAGCTGCAGTGGAAAGTAAGCATTAAAGACCCAAGGACTCTCTGCAACGAGGTGGAACGCCGCTCGCCGCGAATACTGGCCATACAATCGCCCGTGTACATTACTTCCTCGCCGACTGATGACAACTCTTATCCATACAACAAGCATACCCGAGAACATATCGCAATCCAACATTTGATCACACATCGGATGTGAAATCCTTGGACGCGGAATGCTGTGAACCACGAGAAAGAAAGGGACAGGAACACCATCACAAAAGCCTCCTGGGCCAGAATGACTGTTTGAGCTGTTCATCAACCATTACTTGTTTCCAGGCCAAAGAGCAGATTGGTATCTTCCGACGTCACCCATCCATCAGGTCCGACGCAGTCTATCCGGTAACCGAAAAAGCCATCCTCACGGTTCCCCATCAACAGCCTGACCCGACTTCCTCCCCTCCCCCTCCCTATGCCTCGTCACGACCCTCTCAATAGCATCCATCCCCTTCTCCAACACATCCATCCTCGGCCCATAACTGACCCTCACAAAATGATGGCACGGACTATCAAACAAATCCCTCCTCTTACTCGGATTCAAATCGAAAAAGATCCCCGGAACCACAATCGTCTTCTCCTCCAGACACGCCTGGAAGAAATTCAACCCATCCGCGATCCCCTCAGGCAACGAACTCAGATCCAGCCAGATGTAAAACGTGCTCGTGGGCTTATACCGCAACTTGAACCCCATGGCCTCGAGCCGACCGATGACATAGTCCCGCTTCATCTTGAAATGGCGCTGCAGGGCCTGCATCTCGTTCCTTACGCGCGGCGGATCCAGCATGGCGACGGCGGCTTCCTGGAAGGGCACATTGCACCCGCCGTCGAGGTAGGAGCCACAGCTCCCGATGGCCTGGATGAACTCCTTGGGGCCCAGGACCCAGGCTACCCGCCACCCGGGCAGGCGAAATCGCTTCGTCAGGCCGTCGAGGATCAGCACGTCGTCGGCGTCGACGTCGTGGACGTTTGCGGCGGCCGAGACGACGCTGCCGTCGCAGTCGGTCGTGTAGTTGTAACCCGAGTAGAATTCGTCCATGATGAGGGTGGCGCGGTCGCGGCAGAGGTCCTGGATGCGGGCCAGCTCAGGGTTGGCGACCATTTGGCCCGTCGGGTTGCGCGGGTTCGACGTCAGGAAGACGGACATGCCGCGCGCGATTTCCTCGGCGATTTTGTCGACTGACATGTGGAATTTGTCGTGCTCGCCGAGGGGGATCGGGATGGCTGCGATCTGTGGGGGGTTAGCGTTGGGAGAGGAGGGATGGGAATGGAACCGGGAAGGGGGTGGGGTGTACATTTTTGAAAAGGGAGAGCATCTCGTTGTAAGCCGTATAATCTGTAACATGTTAGCATATCCCAGAGATAGATAATCTTTCTCCGTTGCAACATACCAGGGATGAAGAAGCCCAAATAACACGTCCCCAACACCGCCGCGATCCGTATCAACCCAGCCCTCCCTCCAGGCACGATACACACATTCTCCCATGTATACTGGCTCTCCTTGCCCTGTCGATGATGTTCGTTATACAGCCTCGCGACCGCCTCCCTCAGCGGCTTGATCCCCGCCGTGGGCCCATACTCTCTCCCCTGGTTGCTTATATCGATCTGCTCTGGCCGCGGGAAACACCCGGCGATATCGTCGTCGACTTCGGGGGCGCCCTGTCCCAGATTGGCCCACGCCTCGGGTTCATCGAGGAAGCCGTGTTCGTAGGCGCGCTCCGTCGTCCACACGACGCCTGTGGAGGCGCGGGTCGGTTCGAGGCCGGCGTGGGGTCGGTGGCCCTCGTGGGACTCGCGGAATTGGCGGTGGACTTTGGAGGCTTGTTCTAGGCGGGAGAGTTGGTATCTAGGCATTCTGAGGGAAGGAAGAATTGGTGGGGTTCTTTTGAGAGTGGGGAGAAAAATGGAGATACGGAAATAGGGAACAGGTGCAAGTGTGACGGTGAATTGACAGGATGCGGAGCTACTCTGAGCTCGAGGCTCAAACGAGACGGAGAAAGGACAGACAAGGCATGAAAAAAAGACACAAGGTTTGTATGACGAATGGTCCGAAAGAAGCGTCCATCATGACGATGACGTCTTTCTCTCCTTCTTCCCACTGGAACGCGGGGTAGATAGTTAAGCTCTGAAAGGACGGCTCGGCCCTTGCAACCTTATTTCCACTACACACTTGAAAGCTAGATGAACAGGGAATAAAAACTACTTACCATTCTCACTTGGATCCTTGGTCGTAGAGAGCCTTCTCTCTCGGGACGTGATCGTAGTCGTCGAGGTCGGTATATCCCCTGTCCACGACATCCTGGTTCGTGATGCGGTTCAGGAATTGCAATGCCTTGCTTGATAGATGATGCGAAAGCTCCGATGTGATTGATAACCACCTTGGACAAGGAAAGTGAAAGACTTGTCCCCCGGCAATGAAGAAGTAAAGAAGAGTGACAGGCAGTTGCAGAGAAGGGTATTTACGACGCTTTGGTACCTTGAATGAATGAGGCGGTGTAGTACTTCACCGCCCCTACACCTGGCGAACCCCCGCTCCTTATACCCCCCGTAGATATCTTGCAGGCACACCAATTTCCAACATTTTCCAGTCGTCACCCAGCTGCTTGAAGGGACTTGAGGAAGCCACCGCAATCCATGGCCAATCATCCGTCTGAGACTCAAAACAAGGAACATCTAGACGACCGTGTATGCGGCTGACGTCTAATATCACCGCACGATTCCTGCACGTCAGCCAGGGAAGGATTGCTAGAGTAAACAATGAGGTAAATAGACGATCCACAAAACATGAGTGAGCATCGAACGCTCTTCGCAACTCCATTTCACTGGTTAACGCTTGAAACGTCGTCTGTACACTTGCATGGTTGCATATGATAAGTGTGACCTTACAGAAACACGTCCAATGCGACAACAATGTTGTACATCGCTACATATCTACATATAGAACGATACAGCTATCCCGTTGTTTGCTATCGTCCTAGTCTTACACCGAGGGAACATTTAAAAAGCCAAAAAGAAGGCCCGCTATTCAACAGGATCCTCCTCAAGCAGCGTCTTGAAACTAAACGGCTGAAATGGCACGCCGTCGCCCATGAAATGCTTGCTCATCGCTTCCACCCAGTGCAACCGCAGAGAGTGTAACATGGCGCTGGTACCCTCCATGATGCACAGCACAAAGACGGTGAGCACGAACCAGCCGTAGAAGATGACAGTCATGATGATGGCCCCAGTGAGGCCCGTGAAGCCAAATGCGATCCTCATCGTCATGTCCCAAAGCACAATCGACAGGCGTTGATGCGCCAGCGACAGGGCCCAGAGGCGGAGGTAGGATGCTGTATGGGAGACACAGTTGAGACAGAATTCTGACCTAGGTTAGATTGATCAACCGAAACCAATGGAAGAGACGTAACTTACCGATGGTGTGGATGACTTGGTGGATCATAATCTCACCAAACTCGAATTCCTCATGATCCTCTCCATGGCCAATGTCTTGCGTGATCATGGCGATGCCGTCATCGTCATCCCCAAAGCTCTCGCGTCCGCCGTTCAAGGCTCGTCCCTCGTCCTCGTCATTGTCAAGAGCGCTGACTCTGCTCGTCTCTCCAATTCCCCGGTATCCCAATGCTCGAGCCTTGTTGTGCTCGTAGCGCAGGTAGAACGGCTTGAGGAAGAGTAGGATAGGCACGCACACCAACGCCATGAGCAGTAGGATGACCTGCACCGTGGCCTGCCCCCTGTATAAGGGTTGAGTCCCTGGTTCCAGCGTGCCTGGCTGAAGGAACATGTAGATCAACATGTTCAGCAAGCTAGGTGGGCTCTGTCCCGCAGCCTGCCAGTCCACTACCCATTTGTAGACAATCGAAAAGGCCAGATATCCAAAGATGGACTGGAAGAAAATCATCCCCGGAACAAAGTTGCCCCAGATATCAATCGGCGTCTTGAAGTAGCGAGCATTGACCAGAGACCAGATGAGGGAGAAGGTCATGTGTGCCCAACCAAGCAGGATACTCAACTTCATCTTGTAGCTGTTGGAGAAGAGTAAATCGTTGTCGGTTCCGTGCCATCGCCAATCCAGACCAAAGGGATACGTATATCCATCGACGCGCGAAGCCGTTGGACCCTTGCCATCGTTATCCCATTTCCACATCGACTTGAAGAATGGTAGTTCGAGTGAGAATGCGTCGCAGTAGATGAGCCCGGTGTAGATGGAGAAGATACCCATCATCAGAACAATGTACCTCCCGTAAAAGATCATCCCAAAGAGCTCGTCCAGTTTCTTCCGCTCCAGCTTCCGCTCGTAGTAGATCATGGCAACTGCGGCGAGCAACAAAATGGTACCGTGACCGGCGTCACCAAACATGACCGCGAACATGAAGGGGAAGGTTACGATGGCGGGTAGTGCGGGGTTGACTTCGCGGTATTTGATGGTTCCGTACGCATCGATGATGGTCTGGAATCCAAGTGTGAAGCGGTTGGTCTTGAAATATGTCGGCGGCGTCTTCGTCGTCTTGATCTGGTTGACAATGGTGGGGACAGACAGGCCCGCTCGGTCGTTCACGTCTGATAACGTCGACTTGATCAAACCCAATGAGTTCGTCGGTGCCCATGCTTCGGCGATCAGGGTCTTCCGCTGATGGTCGTAGGAAAACCTGTTCAAAGTCTGGTAGGTGGCCTTCTCCTTCTTGATTATGACCATCCAAGGCGCCAGGTTCCGGCCGATCGCAGTAAGCTCAGCATCCAGTGTTGATTTGGTGTTCCTGAGGACGCTGGCCAAATCACTCAGACGTGTGTTGACTTCACGGATCTGGTCCCGCCGAAGCTCGCTGTTCTCATCCACGCTGTACAGATCGGCGCCGAGCGACTCTGAAATCTTCCGGATTTTCGCAATGATTTCCTTGCCGTGGGCGAAGATGATAAAAACATTCTTGCTAATTTGCTCATTGTTCTCGGGGTTGATGATTGGTTCAGGGATCTCGGATTGGTTCATGTACAGATTGCCACGCAGCGTGCGCCAAAGGATACGTTCGAATGCAGCAATCCGTTCTCGTGGAATGACACCAGCGACAAATCCAATGTTCATGACGGAAAATGATCGATCGGCCGCGCCCTCTCCCTGGCCATGGTGCTCGATATCCTGCAGCAGCGGAGCATCGTCGTTATCCAAGGAATGGCGAATTTCCTCGGTCTGCCCCCGGGCCTATCCCCATGTTAGATGTATTGGAATATCAGTATGGAAGGTCCGCAAACCCTATCGAAGAACCCGCCGGCCTCTCGCAGCACCCAGCGCCACTCCGTAAGCTCTACTTCTCGCCGCTTCAATGTCTCGTAACTCTCATTCAACGACGAGATCCGGTTCTCAAGGCTCTGGCACTTGTCCGCGAGTTCGTCAATCTCCGAGGCAGAGGGCGATGTAAACGGGTTATTGAAATCGTAGATGGATCGGATTGGTATCCCCGCCTTCTCCATTTGCGAATGAAAGTATCCTGTATAACAGTCAGAAACTGTCCGAATGAGATAGTAACGCTTGACGCGTACTGAGCTGTCTTTCCACATTGTCCAGTCTCCGTATCTCTTGCGTGAATGTGCGTTGAAAGGCACTGGTCTCGGCGTTCAGCTAGAGCGAGGAGCATGTTAGTCCGACCATTCAAAAGGGATTTTCAGGGTTCGGGAAGAGCTTAAGTCAATGAGACAGCTGCTCACATCTCTGAAATCCATGACCCCAAGCTCGCCCAGAGCGGAGACCACCTCGCGCCCTATCTCGTTGGCGATGTAGAGCTGGGTCAAGGACATGTCCGCAGAGCGGAACATGGTGTCCTTGTGGGGCGCCATGTCGGCTGAGTGAAATGCAAGCACCCCTCAAGAGCGGTACCTTTCTCGAACTTTGAGGAGTGCTAGGAAGTGATGCGATGGTTATGCACAGCTGCCTCTGACCGATGATGCAGGAAGGCACAGGTTGGCAGCGCCAAGAGTATTAGTCAACGGACATCACGTGCGACCATCATGTACCCGTAGGTACCTAGGTACCTATAAGGCGGTGCCATGAAAGTAAGAGGCAGCGCAGGGCTGGGATGAACATGACTTGCTATAGGTGTGTTGTCTTCATGGCGCGAGGTCAACACCGACCAGTGCCACTCATCGAGTAAGGACGAAGCTGGACTTAGAACATAATCTAATTGACCTAGAATCTACCATGATGCTCGAAGGGATCTAATGCAAATCCGGGACATGGGATATGGAGCTTGCTTGACCACCAACACCATGCTACAGGAACGAAAACTAGTCTTCTGACCCGATTGTGCTCTTTTCCATCCTCGCCAATATCAATAGTCGATATTGACATGCTCCTCCGAAAACTGGAGAAGCCGAATGACGCGGAGCACCAGTATCGTCGTCTTGGAACAGGCAGCTGAGATAGGGCCAAGTATTTCCTCCTAAAAAGGGGGAGGATGAGGAGGTTTCCTATCCAACGTTCCAACTCAGTCGTCGAACCGAATGCTCTTAACACCAACTGTGTCGATCACGCCGCCTCTGTAGGATCCACGCTTCTTCTTGTTCTTCTCCTTGGTGAATCCCTTGCCCTTGGTGACGACCAGGTCAGCGTGCGCGCGATTAGCGTAATCGTAGGGTACATATTCGTTGCTAGCAAGTCGTGGATCGACCTTGATTGTGTCGGGAATACGTTTGAAACGCTCAAAGGGCTTCTTGCCATTGGGCTTGGGTGAATCTCCGTCGGCGCGCTTGCGCTTATTTCCAGCTGCAGGCGCAGGAGAGTCGTTGGCCAAGGTCACGGATGAATCCGACCGGTTCCGATCCTGGGCGGTACTGGCTGCCTCCGTAGGTTCCTTAGCCGCAGTCTCGGACTCGCTTTCTGAATCATCCGACGATTCTGACGAACTGTCGGATGCAGAGGAAGACGACGACGATTGGGTCTTCTTCGATGGTTGGGCTGGTTCACTGTCCGAGGAATCTGAAGACCCAGACGAGCTGGATGAGGAAGATGCAGTAGCCGCCTTCTTGGTCTTCTTGGTCTTCTTGGTCTTCTTGGTCTTCTTGGTCTTCTTGGTCTTCTTGGTCTTCTTGGTCTTCTTGGTCTTCTTGGTCTTCTTGGTCTCCTTTGCATCTGAGTCACTGTCGGATCCTGAGCTGGAATCGGAGTCGCTATCAGAACCAGAGCTGGAACTGCTGGCGTCGCTGGAATCATCCGACGGAGGGAGGGGAACTTTCGCAGGGTCGACTTCAGAATCGCTCCCAGAACTAGATGAAGAACTAGATGCAGAACTCGATGACGCTGAGCTGGAGCTAGAAGACGATGAGCTTCTCTTCCTCTTTAGGGTTCCCTTCTTGGCTGCCTGAGACTTCTGCTTGCTCCGTTGCTCAGAATCAGACTCTGATTCACTGCTAGACTCGCTGGCATCACTGCTGGAGTCGATGCTGGAGCTACTCCCAGCGTCGCTATCGGAGTCGCTGGAGGCCTCGCGAGAACTGCTGCTGGAGCCGCTGCTTGAGGCGCTTCCAGAGTCACTCTCCGAGTCGCTTTCCGAGTCGCTGTCCGAGCCGGTTTCTGAGACGGCGCTGCTATCAGCAGAAGAATCCACATCCATCACATCGGCAGCATTTGCTCCAGCGCCATTGCTTTCCAGTGTGCGAAACAAGTCAACTAGACTGGGACGGCCTTGCCCGGAATTCTTGAACGAGATATCCTTCTTCTTTGTTTCAGTTTCCAGCTTTCGAACCGTTTCGGTAAAACCATTTTCGCTAAGGAAGGCGTGGACGAGGTCGATTAGCGGAGCGGGCGCGGCGGCTTCGGTGGTGTTGTTGACAGGTTTCGGGGACTCTTTCGTCTTCTTCTTCTCTTTCGAGCCAGTCTCCTTCACTTTTTTCGCCATGGCCCCACGAGTCGTCTGGGTCACGGGCGAGTGCAATCAAAATCGTGGTTTGAGGGAATCGCTACGAGGTTGGGTGGTGAGCAGTAGTGGTGGTGAACAAAACGTTTGGGTGGAACGTTGGAACAATTTTGACGCTAAACCCACAACGGGCAAGAGCGCGACCGGGGTCTGGCACTTCCCACGGACCGGCACGCACCTGCATCCTTCGAGCTGTATCACCACCTGGGCATCCTCAGGGCCCCATCCTCTCCCCCGCATTCTCCCATCCTTCGTCGCGACGCACGCCGGTCTACGCGGTGCTTCCTTTCTCTTTTATATCCGCCGCCTGTACACGACTGCTAGCAGTCCGGACCGCTGATCCAATCCATCTCCACCACTCCCTGTTTCACAAAGCCATCAGGAAGCTCTAGTTGGAGCTCGACGCCGACGTACTCGGACTCGACACTTTCTATGACAACATTGACATTGGCCGCAATTCACAATCGCATGACGCCCACCATCTCCGGATGCGGCTACCCCCGTGTTGGTACGGCCAGTCTGTAACGTGGCAGCCCAAGTTTGCTCCGCATCCGCAGCATGGACGGGACCGCCAGATCTCGTGGTTTGAACGGCATGGCCGGAGCAGGCAATGGAGGTCGCAACGCCGATAACCGTCGCCCTCCGCTTTCTGGTGCGGCCTCAGTATCCAGCGCCAACACGGCTTCCTCCATGTCCCGTGCTGAGCGATTTGACGACGAGCGGCGCCGAATCACGGAAAGCTGTTTCTCGAGGCTAGATGAGAAGGGCAACCGTATGTATATTGATTCTCGAGATACCTGCCGTACACGTCCACCTGATACGGCTGTTGGTGAACGAGGAGCTGACGGCTGACGGCTGCTAGTCATTGAGTCTTATATCACCCACATCCGCGTACAAGAAGATGCCACCTCTCCCCAGGCCCCTTCCCCTCCTGGCGGGAACCCGGCCAACAAAAAGGCGCGAGTAATCATCATCTCAGTGCGGCACACTGGCCGAGTCCGCATCCATAAAGCCCGGGAAAATGCAAACGCAACTTTCTCGATTGGAAAGACTTGGAATATGGAGGAACTATCGGCTGTGGAGAACTTTGTGCATATGAGACCGTCCAACGAGGAAGAGGCCCAACGCAAACGGTGGGCGGGAGATGTTGGCTTTACCGTCACCATCCAGAAGCCTTACTACTGGGAAGCTGCCACCGCCAAGGAGAAGGAATTCTTCATCTCGAGCATCGTAAAAATATACCACAAGTACACCCAGGGCGACTTTCCTGTCCTGACAGGCTTCAGCTCGAGCGAGTTGGATGCACTTACCGGTGGCCGCCCACATCTGGCTACCGCTGAAGCACGCGCGGCCCGCAGAGGTGGTGTGGCACCGACTCCACGTACAAACGAATCCCCAAACCCACCTCCACTCCGATCGCCAGGAATGTCAAGCCTTCAGTCGACACCCCCGCTTGGAGAGGATCGAGAAAGAAGGCCGCCACCACTGCGCGATGATAGACGCCCGCCTCCTTTTTCAGGCGAAAGCAGACCGCCTCCTTTATCTGGCGATAGGCGGCCGCCCCCCTTGTCCGATGATAGGAGACCGCCCAATCTGTCTGACGAAAGGAGACCCTCCCCTCAGCTGGATGATAGAAGGCCTCCTCCACGTCGCCCACCGACTGCAGAGGGGGAGACGCGGGATAGACGGCCGCCGCCTCTACGTGGGCCCCTTGCTCAAATGCGGTCGCGCGACGAACTATCGGGTCCTGGTACTCCACCCTTGATGCCCTATGGCCAAGGCTCTGACGGACAGCGGCGACCGATACCAAGGCCTTCAATGGAACAGGGATTGCGGTCGTCGCCTGGTCAGGAGCAGATGAATATGCGCGCCCCTCCAAGTCGGGAGCAAATGAATATCCGGTCACCCCCGAGCAGAGATGCAATGCGACCATCTCCGGCAGCAGTACCCGCCGCCAGTCCTCTACCCCAACACCTCACACCGGACACGTCCCGATTAGATGCTGCTGCGAGACCGACCACTCCGGATGCGGCTAGTGTACGCTCCGTCTCGACTGGTTTCAGTCCGAATAAACGCACACAGACGGATGACGCGCGCTCAGTGACGTCTCACCGGTCCCAGAAGTCTCTGGATCAGTACCCAGACGGCCCCCCACCTGGAATATTCGTTGGAGAGGAAGCCCCACCCAATCCCTTACCTTCTTCGAATCGTGTAAGAGACCTTTCTCCAAGGGGTCTCCGCCCTGGCACCGCACAAAGCAACGCTAGCTCTGCGTTCGGTCGAAACGATGAGCTTTCGCTGGAACAGCCTGTTCCACGAAGTGGCCTACCTGAGAGAAAGAGGCCGCCGATGACCACAGTCAGTTCACAACGCTCGCAACCGGCCGTAGGGAGCGAATCACGCACAGAGTTTCATACGCCTGTTCAGTCACCCGAACCACCTGCGATTCTTCAGGCCGGCAGGAGGCCTTCTGGCGATACAATCAAGTCTAGGATTGCTCCAACCTTGAATGAGCCTGAAGTTAGCGAACTTCACTCCGCCCCCAAGCCGCCTCCTACCTCACCTTTGCCTCAGATACCCACACCAACCGAGCCTAGCCGCTCAGTTGATCCAACTCAGGAGGAACAGCCTGAGTCGTCAGAGCCGCGAGCACCTTCGCCTACAAAACCTTCTTCTCCCGTCAAAGAAGAAGAGGAAGAAACTCAGCACCGGCCGGGTTTGGGTCCAATGGTCAAGAAGAAAACCAAGGCTGATACTGCCAATGCATTTCGCAAGGCGGCGTTTGCGGCTGGTGCATTCAAACCTCGTGCAGGTGGTGCAGCAGCAAAACTATTCGCGAAAGAGACGAAGTCGTCGGACGAACCTGACGGCATAACAGGTGTATTCGTACCACAGCGGCCTGCGCCGAAGGAGGAGGCCGAGAAGAAGGTCGAAGAAGACAAAAAGCCGGAACCTGATCGAGCTTCCAAAGATCGCCCGACCGTCGATACTGATGTTGTACCATCAGTGACTGTGTCCAGCCCCTTATCCCCCACTCCCGTAGCTGTTACTTCTGAGGCGGCGCCAACCGCGCAGTCTTCAAGTCCGGAAAAGCCGGTTACAAAGTCCGCGCCGGAGGCCGAAGTGCGTCGCAAACGGCGTAGATCCAATCAACAAATCATGAACATATCGAAACTTGGCATTGATCCCAGTCTCCTGGATGATCGGGGCCTGGAGTTTGAGAACATGCTGTCTCAATTCGGATGGTGGGGAAGCGACCTCTCGGTCAAAAGTATCGACGCCTTGGAACACGATATCAAGCAGGAAATTGCTCGGGTAGAAGCAGGAAGCTGGTTGAACCACTTGGACCAGAAAGACGATCGCGTGGAAGCTGTCGAAAAGATGCTGGATCGGGCAATTGCCGAGTGCGACGAGCTTGAGGGTCTTCTGACGCTGTATAGCGTCGAGCTCAGCGTAAGTTGATCGCTCTCTACCGTCCCCTTGTACACATCAACTGTATCACGCTTGCCGCGAATGTGGCCTTTGCGACGCATGCTGACCTCAGTTGCACAGAGTCTAAATGACGATATTGCCTTCATTGAAGCTCAAGGCCAAGGATTACAAGTGCAGACAGCCAATCAAAGGCTGTTGCAGAGCGAGTTACAGCAATTAGTTGAGACTATCTCCATCACGGCTGACCAGCTCGAGCCTTTGAGACAGGAGCGCATTGGAAAGATCTCCGGCCTGGAAGCCATTGAATCCGCGCTCGTATTGCTTTACAAGGCGCTGATGACTATAGATCCTGCCATAATCGAAAGCCGCAGGGCCGCAAATGGTACAACCGGCAAGTTGGGAAGCATGTCGTCGGGAGTCGGCAATAGTGAGTTGGCATCCATGCACGCTCTGCAAGAGAAGAAAGATCGCTACCTGCAAGAGAGCGCCATGTTCCTGGACCGCCTGAAGCAGCACATGACGATTACGTTTGGTGCTGCCTTTCTGCAGACCAAGGATATCCTCGCCAATGCTGACCGAAACGGAATGCCCACAACGAGGCCGAATGTCGACGCACATGATGCCGGACGTAGCACTTTGTGGATGTTCAGTCCACTTATCCTCTTTACGAAGGAAATAGATCCGGAATGCTGGAATGAAATTCTGCGTATGTATCAAGCTCAAGCTGCTCAGGTTTATCAGGAAGAGATTCGCGATAACATCATGGCTTGGAAACAACAAGCTCGCAAGCCAACTGGGGAAGAGCAAGACCTGCTATTCACGGCACAGGAAAAGGAGGCTGAGACCATTGCCGGTGCCGCCAGGAAATTGACAGTGAAACGTAGTCAAACTTTGGCGCGTGGTCTACGCGCTGCTTCCGGGGAGAAGGAAAGCAAAGGGCCTAAGCCGCAACAAGGAAGGCTACATGCGTTTGACGTGTTCAGCAAGGCGCTTGACGACAGCACACCTCTTCTTCTGACGGAGCAGAACTTCATCACGGATTTTTTCCATGCAACCTCGACCGATGCAGTCGATTTCCCGGATGCTGTCCGAGTCGCACCACCTGAAAACCGTCGAGGGAAAAATCTTTGGATTCGACGACCATTCGAAGCTGATAGGACCATGGCAAAGCGAGTTGCAGAAGTCATGGAAGAGATTTTCTCGGTCTGGCCTACCGAGATTCAGAATTTGGTGGAATGGGCCGTCAAGGCCGATCCCCTGTAAGTGTTTTGAATTCCAGCCTATGCCCGATATACTGATAAAGGGTTAGACAAGGAGTAGGCATCTTATGCGCCGTGGACCGCAAGTTGCTCGAGATTGATGATTCGAATCAGGACTTCCAGATGAAAACCCTGCAAAAGATCCATGAGCGTCTCACCGGCCTATTCATTCGTTTCGTCGACGAGCAGATACGCGCCATTGAGGACACCAAAGTGAAGATCAAGAAGCGAAAGGGCGTCATCAAATTCATGCATACCTTCCCCCATTTCTCAATAGCCATTGAGAACATGCTACCTTCGGCAGACGAGGGCGAGCAATTGGAGATCCGAAAGATGGTGGACGATGCGTACGACAAGATCAACAAGGCCATGTTCGAGAGTCTCAAGGTCATTGCGAAGGAGTCGCCTGCCGTCATGGCTACCCAGGGACAAGGCGACCCTGAGGATAAGGAGGCGTTGAACTACCACATCCTACTGATCGAGAACATGAACCACTATATGGAGGAAGTGGATGCTAGGTCCGATCCAGTTCTCCTGAAATGGAAGGCGGAAGCAGAGCGCGAAATGGCGGAGCACATGGGCCTCTACGTCGATGCCGTCATCCGGAGGCCATTGGGCAAGCTCTTGGTGAGTGCAACTCGTGGTTGTCCATCGCTCCCATACCGTGCTAATGCAATCCCAAAGGAATTCGTCGAATCCACCGAGAACCTGATGACCCAGCCCGGCGCCTCGGCCCAGGCGATAGCAGCCCGCTCCTCGCACTCGCGCCACGTCTTCAAGAAACTGCTGCACTCCAACGACGCCAAGGAGCTCCGCAAGGGCATCGAGGCGCTCAAGAAGCGCGTCGACAAGCACTTTGGCGACGCGGATGATGCGAGCATCGCGCGGAATCTCGTCACCAAGGTGTATGGGGAGTGCGAGGCTAGGTATGTGGATGTGTATGATCGGACGGTTCGGATCGGGCAGGACGTGTATACGGGAGAGTTTGAGTTGGATTGGGGGGTTGGTGAGATTAAGGCGGCGTTTCGGAGGTAGGGTATTATCGTAAGTTGAGTGGGCTTGTGAGCTCGTATACCGCGAGTGTGGCGGGTTTGGAAGGGCACGGCGCCTTTCATGTTTGCGTGGGTCTCGTTATTTGGATCCTAGATACCTTCGCCTCGTCCTAGTTTTTTGGCTGTCCGGTCCGCCGTTTTTGGCAGAGAGAAGGACGGGTGTTCTACTGCTGTTTGTTGTGGCGTTCAGGGTAGTGGGACGGGGGAATGTCTGCCGCATATGACAGGCAGAGTGGTGTGAAATACATGGTTTATGCGGTGTGAAACGCTGTTGTCTGTTCTCCAGGGAATTTGGCTTCAAAATGTCTCACTGCGCCTTTATCGCTGCATCGAACAGCCAAGGAGAACTTTCATGTGCATACTGCTATAGGTCCCAAATCGTGAATCAGTTATACCAGTCGTGAAAGCATCGTAGCTTCACCCTTATGATCTTAAACATGGTCCTAAGCTCAAGGAATTCAAAGAATGGATATTGTAACGGCAAAACAGTGATCCATTGCACCAGCACCTCCGAATATATATACATAATAAACCAGCAACCAGCAACCCTTCTCCCCTCCTCCTTCCTTCCTTTCCGCTCCTGTCCACCTTGTCACTGCACACCCCCCAACCCAGCAGCCAGCACCAAATACCAACTCCTACTGGCACCGCCATCGATCCAACCATCCTCCCACGCGCCATCCACGCCACCCCTGAAGAACTCCCAACTCGCACGGGGATCAACGAGCGCGAGGTTCGCCATCAAGATGCCGCGCCACCCGCCATCCACCTTCCACCTTCCGTCGGAGAAGAAGCGGTTCCATTCCTGCGCGACGAAGGGTTTGGAGCGGAGGTAGATGGAGGCCGGGGAGAGGGGGAGCATGTGGATGCCGTGGACGAATTGGGGGGATGCGCCGAAGTAGGCTGTTGAGTACTGTTAGTTTTCTTTATGCAAGATAGAAAACGGGGGGGAGGTTGAAGAGGGGAAGATGAAGATGAGAGACGCACTCGTGTGGTCGACTTTGTTTTCAAAAAGGATACCCGTGACGCTATTATTGACGAAGCGCGGCGGATGATTGATATTGTCCGACGTCATGTAGAAGTAGTTGCGGAAACTGCGGGCTTGGATGGCGAGCATGAGGTTTCCTATATCCCACAACATTAGTATATATACATCATATATGATACCATGGGTGCGATTCGGTCCAGGAGGGAGTGTCGTACCTCTTTCCTCCATGTTGGCGTCGCCAGTCACCTTCCCCCACATCTTGACCGCGTAACTGGCGAACCCATCCTCACTAGAACTCTCCTCGTCCTTGCCATCCGCGCTCTCGAACAGCCCTTTCGCCCAGCTATGCCCGTGGTACCAGTCAAACGACCTAAAGAACGGATAGCGGCTTCCGTTATAGTCGCTCTCTGCAAAATCCTTCACCAGCGAATTTACCCACGCCTTGTTATCCCCGCGGACAAGCCACTCCGGATCCAGATATCCAATGACCGCTGCAGCATAAACAAAGTATCCGTAGTGGAAGTGGTGGTCGTTGTAATACGTGTTGCCAAAGTCGGCGCCGGGGTCACTGAAGCCCGCGTTGGAGACGAGGCCTTTCCAGACGTCGTCGTAGAAGAGCGGGAATCGCTGCTGGTTATTCACATATCTCGCCATTTCCTGTTTGAGTTTGTCCAGCCCTGTTTTCCAGACGGGGTTGTTCACCACTTCTTTTAGTGTCCAGCAAATGGTTGCGAAGCGTGCGAGCATTTTACCCGCGTAGTACATGCTCTCGTCGGGGACTTTTTCTCTCATGACGTTGCTGAGGTCGTATTCCGCCGCTTGATTTATCATGTCTCTGACAGGCTGGGAGAAATTCGGTTGGTTCCCTGGGGCTTCAGTCCATGGGCCAAAGCCCATGTTCAAAGGGACATTGGGCTCGACGAAGCTTAACGAATCGCCCCAGACTGCCGTCGCCATCCCTTTTGTTGTAGTGCGGAGCTGAAGCTTGGTGACCCGGCCGGCAGCTGAAGGTTCCACAGATTCGATGTGGTGAGGGAGCATAAACATGAGAAGAGGCGACGAACCAACTTTTGTATACGAAAATGTATAGACTGCGCCATCCCCGCTAACCACAGCGGTCACATTGGCTTCGCAGACGAAGGCTCCCGAGGCTTTGTCGTAAATCGCTTCGCCTTCGTCGCCCAAAGGGTTCTTGGCCAACTGGATCGTGCCGACGAAGCCTGGTGGTCCGACGAAGGTATTCTTGTCGACCGTTGTGAAGGCGGTAGCGTCGTAGTTGATCGTCGATCTCGGATTGACATAGGCAACCCATTTCCTCCCATCTGCATCTGCTATCCTATACTTCACCGATTTCCCGACTACGATGGCCTCGCTTATTGACTTGCATCCTTCTCCCGGGCACTGAATCATCGGGGTGGCATTGCGGTAACCAGCAGTGATGAAACTCATTCCCTGCACTAAGGGAAACGTAACCAGGGGTTCTTGAGATGGCCGGCCACTGTTCAGGTTGACGTTGACGGAAAAAGGCAAATGCGTGTCCGTTGTCAGAGTCGTTTGGTCGCCTAGCTCTCTTGCCGACAGCATCAAAGATTGCCGACGCACGGCATTAATGTAAAACTGGCCTGGGTTAGTGTATTGGATTTGATAGTACAGTGCGTCCCTCACCCGGGCTGGATCGCCTTCCGGCATAACAATATCTTGCTCATCAGCATGACCAATACTCATTCCCCACGTTGGATACTGGCCGTTTGCCTGTCCTTTTCCCCACCACACAGAGTAAGGATGGGTCCAGATGGGCATGTCCTGGTTCCCCAGAAACGCGTTTGCATAGAACTTATTCGTATGTAAAGTTCGATGGTCACCGTCTATGATCCCTTTCCTGGCTACGGGGTGGCTACGTCCGATAGGTATTTGGGGCAGAACGTTGTCTTGTTGGATGGGTACGAAAATGTTGTCCTCTGGAATGAAAGCCGTAGCTGGGGTTGGGATCCCGAACAAGGGGAGTAAAGGTTGGTGCTTCCATGTTGTTGTACTGGTGGGCCTGTCGCTGATCTCCTCGGCCGATACTGTGATCAACACTGCTTTGCTTCCTTTCTCATCCATGACGAGAGTGGTTGGACTTGGAACTGTTATTGTTACGAATGTGGTTGTCGGTGAGGCGTAGATCGTTGAGGATGTTGGTATATCCTGCGTAGTAATATCCCAGCCTGCGTGTGACTTGGTGCAAGAAGAATACGAGAGTGATGTAGCGAGTGGGAATGGAGCGAAGTGCGGAGGCAAGGCCGGACGTGCCCAGGTAGGAAAACTCGCCGTCTGTGGATGAATGCGGAACGAATAAACATACTCCTAAAGGAAAGAGCGGTTAGCTTTTGGACAGATGCTGGTTTGGCCTAACGTGTGAATACCAAGAGAGCCTGGATGGCATTGCAATCATCTGAACAAATAAACATGGCGAATATTGAATGCGAATAACATGCTAGCTGGATGGATTAATGGTTTTGATCCTGATATCTGTCGGAGTAGCTTTCGGCCTCGACAGGCGATTGGAAGGAGCTGGCAGGCGTCCTTTGGCAGGAGCGAGCCGTGGAAGGTAACCATTGCAGTGTGTGGTTGAGACTACTGAAATTCCAAAGAACATTGGAAAAGGACTGACCGAGCAGGTCGCCAAACTCGACTCCGATTGACTCTGTATCTGTCCCACGGAAGTGGAGGTGAATCCCGCTCTCTCGCTCTCCCAGTCACCTCTGCTTGAAGATTCCCGACACCATGACGGCCAGGTAATGCCGTCCAACGCGAACGCCTGCGGACTCTCGGTACTGGGACGTGCTGTGGTCCTTGTGGTGGTCGGCACGGTGGCATAGATCACATCGTCCCTCCGGAATGGACTGGAATCAGGTACGGGAGCTGGAGCGCCGGTAACCCGAGAAGCAAACGAAACCGCAAGTACCGAGACGGAAAATCGACCCATAGCGCTCAGTCTACCGAGCCAAAGAAACGTTTCGCAAAGTGTGACACTCGGGAGACCACCTGGTATAAGTCCTCACCCCAATGCGCTCTCTCCCTCCCTCTCCGACCTCCACTGCTTCGCCATATCCAACATGCCCATCACCTGTGTTTCACACGCTCGCCATTTGGAGAAACAAGTTCGACTCTGCGAGCTCCCGTCGGTCATTCATGTCCGTCTTCTTCCTCATGAGAACGTGCCTTGTGGCGGCGCCATCTCTCTTACCTGCCCAGAACAGAAAGTAAGACACGGAAATTTAGCGGCAGCAGGGTGTCTCGCTGCCACGAGGGCGCGAGATATGAAATGTGACTGAATCTGGCGGCGGAGGGCAGAGCCATTAAGGGAAATTGCCAAGCTAGGGATGAGCGGTGGAGGAGACCGAACGGCGGGAGTCTGGGCTGTATTATGTACGCACGCCACGGGGCACGGGGCTGTGGGTATATCCTCGATCCAGGTTGAAGGGTGAAGTAATGACAGAGGGACTTCAGAGCCGGAAGGATTGGATGACGCAGCTCTCTCGGGAGACTGGAAATGCGGTAATGGGCTGTCCCTTGTGCACACAAGCGGAGCCATCTTTCGAGTTTGTGGCCAGCGATACTTGAAAAAGGCAATGCGAAGTCAGTTACTCAGGTATCTCTGCAAGATTCCGATATTCGCCATTACTCTCCGGTACATGTCAAGTAAGTTGATCAAGCCATGCCTCAGGACCGATGAGGCGACACTAGCCGAGACCCAATGACCCAAGTCCATCCATCCATCCAGATCCCATGACAACGTTTCTCAAAGTGCACGCGGCTGCCATTACCTTTTGAATTCAAACCTCCGTCACTCGCGCCCGTCACACTAGAACGGGGGAAATACGACTTCCAGCCATCCATTGCATACAAGCCACAGGGTCAGGTACTGGTGTACCTTTGTACCTTTCGCACAGCCACACAGAAGCCTCGCCTCTGAAGACAGCGACATCTCAGACAAACCCGAGCGTGGTTTCCGTATCCTCCTCTGTAGCTTAAACCATAGGCTTCTTCATGGGCGTAATAATGCCTTGCTTGAGCAACACCCGTGGCTTCGTTGCCTCCTGGAACGTCATCTTGGTAGTCCACTCCTTACCCTGCGGCACCCTCAAACTGCGCTCATACTGCTCCCTCGTCTCGAACGGGAACGGCAGCTGCGTCGCGAGGAACTTGGAATTCTTCTTGATCTTCCTCTCGTTGATGATGACCTTCTCCAGTGTCAGGTCCTTGCGCTTGCTGATCTTGACGCCTTCTTGCTTGGTGACCGACTTCTTGCCCTTGTTCTTCTTTTCGTTCTTGGTGAGCCCGTCGCCCACCCAGGCGCCCCAGCCGGGGAGATGCGTGGTGATTGTCTTTTCCGCTTCTTCGTCCATTTGTGCGGCCTTCTCGGCTTCAAATTCGGCTTCCACGTTGTCGCCTGCGTAGAGGGCGGATACGAGAGCCTGGTTATGGTTGATGCCTTCGTCTCCGGTATCATCGTCATCGTTGTCGGAGTTCTTGCCATACGTGACTGTTTGGAAGCCATCCGCATCGGGGGCGCTGTAGTGGGCATCGGGGAAGTCGTCGTCCTCCGCAGTCTTAGCCTTCGATTTCGACTTCGATTTCTTCTGAAGTGCGGAGACGGTGTCATGGGCTTTCCACAATGCGTCGGGCTGCTTTCCGGAGTTACTTTTTACGGCAGTCTTCAAGTCGGCATTCTGCCCACTTGGGCCATGTTGCGCTTGCGCCTGAGAAGTCGTTGCGCTAGCCTTCGCCGATCCATTTGAGAGTCCAGTAGTGGCCAGTTCCGCACGCTCCTCCGGGTTTGTGCCAGCTTCTACTCTTGCTTCTTCCTCGTCATCATCTGACCCTGCCATCTCCTCAAATTCGCCGCGCACAGGCTGGATGGCTGTCGTGACCGCCTTGGTAGGGCCAAACTTCATGCGCCCCGTTTTGGCGGAATTCTCATCTTCTTCCTCACTGTGACTCTCCTCGCCAGCGAGCTCGCGTCGCATGCGTTCGATGTCCTCATCGTTTCTCTGCCGTCTTGCCGCCTCTGCTTTCTGCATGAACATCATGTTACCAAGCTTCGACTCGTCGGTGGTGAACGGGTTCTTCTCCTTCAGACGCTTCAGCTGCTTCTGTATAAGTGACTTAGGGTCCTCTTCCGAGTCATCATCCTCTTCCTCATCGCTCGTGAAGTCAGAGCGATCTTCATCCTCGTCGCGGATTTCCTTGCCTTCAATGCGACGACGAAGCTCCTCGTTTCGTCTGGCCAGCTCATTCACACTGGCCCGAGCATCCTCATCCCAGGCCGCTCGGCCTGTTTTCTTGACACTCTTAGCCCACCTGCTCTCACGGTGCTTGGCGCCCATGCGCTCTTCGGCCCTGCGGCGGTCGTTGTACTCTCGCTCATCCTCAGATACATCGACGCCTTGGGCTTTGAGCTCTTCGCGTTCTCGTTCCGCAAGTCTCTCGCGCTCCTTCCTGTGTACTCTGCGATACGACTTGCTCTTGATCTTCTTGATCCGCTTGGCGCGCACTTCCTCGCGGAAGAGGAGCTCGCGCTCTCGCCTGAGCTGAGCACGGCGTTTGGCGACTTCTTCCAGCGGGAGCTTGTTGGTCTGCAACTCCTCCCACTTCTGTAGCTGCTCTTCGTCATCTTTTCCATTGGAGAGACCACTTTGTTGTAGGATGGACTGGATGGTACTCTCGAGTTCGTTTGCAGGTCCCGTAGCAGTGGTGGGCATAAGCCGGCTTTCGCCCATGGATTCGCTTTCAAAAGCGCTCTTGAGCGGGAACGAGAGATGCTCGGCACGGCGGTTCTTCTTGACCGTATCCACCCAGCGGGACAGGACCTCGTTGGCCTTCTCGTTCGCAGCAGCGCGATCCAACTTGTCTTGCTGACGCTTGGGAAGTGGCGCATCGAGCTTTCTCGCTATGTCGTTTCGCTTTGAGGGCTTCAGGTCGTCTTGTAGAAGCCTAAGTGACTTCCTCTTTTCAGGATCCGAAATCTTGGACTTGATGCTCAGAAGATCCACCTTGCGCATGACACCAAACTCGGACGGGGTTCCGGATTCATGGGCGTCCTTGCGCGAGATCCTGCCGGTACCCTCTTCCTCAGCTGGGAGCGACGCAATCAGATCTCTGAGCCGCGCCGTCTTGTCAGCCTCATCCTCATCGTCGTCCTCGGACGAGGAGAAGTCATCTGCGCCATCGGCTGCAAAATCGTCTTCTTCGCTAGGTTCGCTGTCGTCGAATGCAGATGGCTTCTTCTTGTTCTTCTTATCCTTTTTCTGCTTACGGTCGTGCACATCCTCGTCCTCACTCTCCTCATACTGATCCAACGCTGTAGCCAGATCAATCGCATCTTCTCCCAAATCGTCCTCTTCCTCGTCCTCCTCCCCGTCGGCACTACTCTCCTCATCCAGATCTATCTCCCCCTCCATATCCACATCCTCCTCTTCCACCCTCCTCTTCCCCTTCCTCTTGACCCCCTTCCCTCGATCCTGCGCACTACTACTCCCCCTAAACGCCCACCCCTCAAACCTCTCCTCATCACTCTCCCCAAACGCCTCATCACTATCGATATCGCTATCATCCTCACTACCCACCTGCCCCACCGTCCACGTATTCCCCTCAGAATCACTCCCCTCATCACTCCCCTCATCATCCCCGCCTCTCCTCCTTCTCTTCGGCTGTTCCTCCTCGTCCTCGTCACCCTCGCCATCTTCATCCTCGTCACGATTTCTTTTCCTCCGCGTAGATGACGCACCAGGCCCCTCTTCCAGCTCACCTAGACGGCTCCTCCGTATCTTGGTCCGCTCGGGGACTTCGTGCGCGGCGATGGCAAACGCATCGAGGGCTCGTCTCGCGGCCTTCTTCGGTTTGCGCGCCGTGTTTGTGGGTCCGCCGCCGGAAGACGGGTGCGGTTTTTGGTGGTGCGACTCGTTGAAGGGGACGGATGCTCGGGATTTTCGGGGAGGCATGATGGGTTTTTATTTTGTTCAATGGGCGGGTTTGGCGGGTATTGCAAACGTGCGACGTTTGCGGGTTCTTGTTCACATTAAAATTCCCCGTAGGCGAAAGGATCTTGGGACGAAATCTTGGCGGCGGGAGACGATATTTTTCTGAACCCTTGGCGTAGATCCCGAGGTTTTGCCGGGCGGACCTCCTTCTGAACTTCAAACCAGCTCAACTGCAGTCATAGCAGAGGGAGCGGTCGCGCTCAACGCCCACGTTCATTCCCCCGACCCGGTCTCCGTGCCCCCCCTCACGAAACCACCGCCACGATGAAACCGACCCAGATCCTCCGCGAGCGCATCCGGCGTCTCCCGCTCACGACGAAGCAAGCCAGGAAGGGATTCTACAAGGGCACAGGAACCAAGATCCTGGGACACTGGGATCCGCTGAATCCGAGGAAATTCGTGCCGGACTGGGAGAAGATTAGGACGTACAAGTTTCCGGAATTCGGGTTGGCGGATTTTAGGGTATGTATTTGCCGAGTTCTTTTGTGGTGGGTGGGTGGTGCGCCAGGAGCTGGGACATCTGAAGGAGTAGGAGTTAAAGGGTTGATGTTGATGTTTGGATGGGGCGAGGGCTAATAGACGTGTTATAGTTGACACCTTTTGTTGCGGGGAAGATTGGCACGTACGAGGCGGTCGGGCACAACCAGTGGAGGGTACCGGAGAAGAAGATGACGGGCGAGCAGTACTTGCAACAGTGGATTGAAGAGACGGGAGGGTTTGATCGACTTGACCTGTATCCTGAAGCGGAAGAAGAAGCTCAAAGCGAGGAGGGGAAGAAATGAGGATGGGAAAGTGTGTGATCGAAAGAGCAAACAGACACAATCACCAGAGGGGGTGTATCATAGATTTGGATCACAAGGACTGGCATTGCACGGCGTTTGGGATAATCGGCATGTTGGAGATTTTGAAAGTACGAAGACGAGGAGGACATGATGTACGATATAGGGAAACGCATCCACGGCAGCCGCCATAAGCCGGCCGTTCTACTATTGTACAATTGCTCACCTGGGGTATCATCTATATGTACATGTTCCCAATATACGCTGACCCATTCAATCGCCCTCGTTCACCCTGTTCTCATACCTCATCCCTCCTCACCCCAAAGAAATAGTTTCCCCAGCCCTCGCCCCCAGGAACCTCCTTCCACCCCAACCCAGGCACATACACCACCCCCATAACCCTCATCTCGCCCACACCCCCACCCCACCCCTTCTGCCTCCCAAACCACTCCTTTAATTCCCCCTCATTCACATACTTGGACCACTCATGCGTCCCCTTCGGCACAATCCCCAAAACATCCTCGGCAACCACATTCGTCACCATCCAACTCGTCCACGTCCTCGCAATCGTGCTCAGCACCAGCCATCCCCCAGGTCTGACCTGCTGCATTACTCGCTCGAGGAACGGCCCCGGCGCGCTGACATGCTCGAGCACTTCGAATACGGAGACGACGTCGTAGCCTTCTGCGGGGCTGGAAGGGACCGGTAGCTCTTCGATTGACTTGTTCAGGTATGTGAGTTTGTTCGGTGCCATGAGCGCGGGGTCCCGACGTTTATGTGCCTCGGCGACGCGCAGGACTTCGGGCGTGGGGTCGATGGCCGTGACGCTCGCGGTGGTGGGAAGACGGGCAGCCGATTCGGCGAAAATGCCGCCGCCGCAGCCAATGTCGAGGTAGCGGATTGGGGGAGAGCTGGATGCTGTACTGGCCCTACACCGCGATATGAAGTCGTGGCGGAGAGGATTCATGAGGTGGAGGAGGCGGGAAGGGCCGTGAGGATCCCACCAGCTGGAGGCAAGGGCGTTGAAGTGGGAGACTTCATTGGGGTCGACGGAGGAGTTTGCGGAGGTGGGAGTAGAGTGTGTGGTGTGGTGTCGGAATGATGGTGAGGAATTGGGATGCCTGTATAATATGGGTGCCGCCCGCCTTGACGATCGCGCTGCTAATCGGCAAGCTGTAGGCGTGAACCGAGAGAGACTCAAGGAGCTCATTGTTGTTGTTTCTATGTCCGCTGATTATGGATCCTCTGAGCTGGGGATTATGATAAGATTCCGGAGGTTGATGTCACCAGGGATTTTCTGCACGGACCATCTGTTAGATGCCTAAATCAGCATAAGTCTTGGCGCATCTCTTCGCGAATTTTTTTATACCCTTCTACTTACCCTCCTTTCTAAATACACATAATAAAACTATAGTAATATAATCTTAAGTATTAAAATATATATAGGAACGTTTCCTCTATAGATCTATATAAATTTTATTTTATTATTATATAGTTATTGCGCAGAAAGAGGTAGTCTCTTAAGTTCTAGGTAAGGGCAGCGCTTGCTTAATTTCTTAGTAAAATCTATCTACTCTATGCCCCTTTGCTTACCCCTTTCTTTTTATACTAATGTCAGATGGTAAGCCAGTTTATGGACATCCCATCTAGGACTGGAGAGGAGAACTGGAAGAAACTGGCTGTACCAGTACTATCTGAGGACATGTGGCTAGTGATTCTGCAGTGGCTAGTGCCCGGCGCAGCCTTGGTGCCCAGAGAAGGAATATCAAAACCAGTGTCAGGCCCTAGCCTCACAGATAAGGACACACCTGAACACAATCAATCAACCTATCTTCAATCAATCTTTCTGTCACCGTGACATCTTCAGATACTATCAAATCTGATAACTAAATATAAGCTATTATAACTTATAACTTAGAATAATATGTTTAATCACCGAACCTGACAAATCACCAAACTCGACAAAATATCTTAGCATTACCAACTTGTTGATTATTCTATCATGTCTCAATAGTGCAAGGCTTTATTAGAAGAATATAAAGGTAGACTTCAGCTTGCCCTTCAAGCCTATAATACTAAGCAGTTTTGGAGCTATCAAGCAGCTGCTGCCATCTTTAATGTTAAGTACTATACCCTTACTGAGTGCACCAAAGGAAAGCCATTTCGATGTGATACATGACCTAATTGCCAGAAGCTCACTACAACTGAAGAAGAAACGCTTGTCCGATATATTCTCGATCTCGATTCATGAGGATTTGCACCCTGGCTATGTGAGGTAGAAGATATAGCTAATAAATTGTTGGGGGTGCATGGTGGTATGCCAGTAGGCAAATGCTGGGCTAAGAGATTCGTGACATGTTCAGATCAGCTCAAGATAGCCTTCAATCGAGCAAAAGATAGGCAGAGAATACTACAGGAAGATCCTGAGGTAATCAATACATGGTTTAAGCTGGTTGCAGATACCAAAGCCAAGTACAGTATCTATAATGATGACATCTACAACTTCGATAAGACCAGGTTCTAGATAGGTATAATTGGGTCAATGAAGGTTGTTACAGGCTCAGAGAGATGTACAAAGCCTGAGTTCATCTAGCCAGGTGATCACGAGTAGGTTACGGTCATCCAGAGTATCTGCGCTGCTGGGTATACAACCCTACCATTCATCATCTATAAAGGGTGTATCCATATCTCTGCATAGTATGAGGAGGAAGATATACTACATACTTGGGAGCTCTCAGTCTCTGAGAATGGCTGGATAAACAATGTGCTTGGTCTTAAGTGATTGAAGCACTTTGACATGTATACAAAGCTATGTCAAGTGGGCTGGTACAGGCTGCTTATTTTGGATGGCTATAAGAGCCATCTCAGCCAGGATTTTAAGGACTATTGCCTCGAAAACAAGATCCTCACTATCTGCATGCCACCTCATTCATCATATATACTCTAGCCGCTTGATGTAGTCTGTTTTTTGCCATTGAAGCAGAAGTACTCCCAGCATGTATGAGACTTGGCATGCTGGCATATTGTGACGATCCAAGAGGAGCTAGACTCCACCTGACCAGAGTTGCTCTCAGTTAAGCGAGAAAGATCACAGAGCATAGTGCAGCTAGCATGACATGATCATGTGTTATCTGCGGAGTGCTCTCAGCGATCATCTGATCTCTCTGGAGCAAGGAAAGCAACAGAGCAAGAGCATGCAACCTGCTCTCAATGCTCTACTCATGTTTATGGAGCAAAGGGAGCACCTCATGTATATAACAGTAGATGATGAGCCTATATGGCTTATCGTGTTCAATTTCAGTCAAGTACTTCTTAGTACACTTGGTTTTCAAATACCCATTACCCCTGGTGTCACCCCTATGCAAAGAACCCTATCATTCATCCCCAAGAACCAACCAAGATTCCTAGAGGACATACCATTATCCGTGGAACCTTACACTTTGAACACCCTCAAAATGAGTGACACTTCTATGCATACCCCGAACCAGACCCAAGGAGGAAAGAGCAAGGTTGCTAAACCTGACCTCTACTTCGGAGACTGCAACAAGCTTGAAGATTGGCTTCTCCAATTCAATCTGTTCTTCAAGTTCAATGATGACAACATCGATGATGATGACAAGGCCTCCTTGGTTGCCTCATACATGAGAGGACAAGCTGCTAAATGGGTCAAACTGTACCTCATCAAGTATATGGATGACAAGAATGATGATGCTGAGATTACCCACATGTTCGAAGACTACTTGGTCTTTAAAGAGAAGATTCATCAGACCTTCGCTGTTACCAATGAAGTGTCTATGGCCGAACGGAAGATTCAGCGACTTCGATAGACCCAGTCTGCTGCAGACTACACCAGTGAATTTCAACAATATGCGGTCATGACTGAATGGGATGACAAAGCACTTATGAGGATGTATCGACAAGGACTCAAGAACAATGTTAAACTTGAGCTCATGCGTAGTGGTACTACCATGGATACTCTAGATAAACTTATCAATGAGTCAATTCGGGTTGACAGCAATCTATATGAGTTATCCTTGGAGCTACACCCGGAATGGCACCGAGGTAACCGCCCTCCACAATGCCAGTTCTATCCCAATGTAGGACGATGCCGAACTCTGCCGCCACCTCGGTACAATAGGACCCCTGGTTCCTATGCCACTATGGGATTGGAACTAATGCATCTAGATAGTGTCATCAAAGGCCCGAGCCTATCCAAGGATAACGATAAGAAGGGCAAGAAGATACTCTCATGCTATGCTTGTGGCAAACCTGGTCACATTATGAGGAACTGCCGATCCAAGAACAAGGTAGTTCAATACGTGAATACCCTCATCACTCTTAACAGAGAAGATGCCACAATTGGGCAAGATGGAGACCCTGAATGGGTTGTTATCCCAAACCAAGTTTGGAAGCCAGAGAGCGAAGAGATGCCCTGGACTCAAGAGGATGAGGATGCTGACACCCCTTTGTTGGGAGATGTCGAAGAAGATACCACTGGATACAAGACATCTGAGGAAAGACGACCGCTTATACCCTATCCTACACCAACTGAATTCCTACCTCGAGGAGAAATCACCAGTGAAGCTGATGTCAACTATTTGATTCATGAATTCGCTAGACAGATACAACCTCCTCCGCAGGATACAAAGGAATGAGCTGAACAACGTCAGGTCAACTGGTGTGAAGGAAGGTGGCCAAAAGGAAAGCCTAAGGATTAGAAGACTCTGATGTACCATCCATATGATCGAGACTACCGAAACCCTAACCATGCATTACTAACTTGGACTGTTTGCTTCCATGACATATACCCTGTGCATAAATCAGAGAAGGAGGGTTCAGGTTGGTTTCCGTAAGGAAAACGGTTCTGCAAAAAACTTTGGATCAATTACGATGATGACATCTGCAGTGAGCATCTATGGGACAAATGCCAGGCTTCATACTTTCCAGGACACAGCAAGGAAGAAGTTATCTAGATGAAGACACTCCACAAACGGATGTGTAACCAAGAGAATTAGCAAACATGCCTGAACCCTGATTGCATGCTACATTGGGAAGAGAAACAGAGCAATGGATTTGGCCAGCAGAAGTCTTTTTTAGGAGTACATCTTGCACCTGGGATCGACCCCGAGTCTACAATGCCATCAACTCTACAAGACTTAGATGAGTACCAATTACAGTAAATGGGATACGGATGAATGCACTACTCAACTCAGGAGCTGACACGAATTTCATCTCTCGGAAAACAGTGCAGAGAGCTGGCCTCCAGATACGACCGAAACAGCAGCCGTACCTACTACAGACAATCAACGGAAAATTCGTACCAAGCGACTCAGTCATTGACACCGAAGTCACTGTGCAACTAAGCATCCAAGACCATGAGGAAGAGATCATCCTAAGTGTCACTGGAGTAGCTAACCACGACATAGTACTAGGACTTCCATGGTTACGAAAGCATAATCTACAGATCAATTGGAAGAAACATGAGCTTTCGTTTAGGGACTGCGACTATACCCACAGATCCAAGCCTGTGCATCGACAGCATTCGATGGTAGATGAGAAGGTGATGATGGCGAATACCATCACTTCGACCAAGATGCACTCACGGAGAGTGGTCGACTCAGCGAACGAAATCCGAGCCAAGATGGACTCGATGAGTGAAGGAGAGATGCACTTCTTCGACTACGATGGCACAGAGACTACATGGGAATATGTCGCTGGAGGAAAAGAGGCTCATATATCTCTAGATATCCCCGAGGAATACAAAGAGTTTGAAGAACTCTTCTGGGAAGAGACAGGAGCAGCCGCTCTACCTAAGCATCAACTCTGGGATCACGAGATCAAGTTCCAAGAAGGAAAGCAACCACCTTTCGGTCCACTATACACAACTTCAGAAAAAGAGCTCGAGGAAACATGCAAGTTTCTCGACAAGAGCCTGAAGAAAGGCTACATACGAGAATCGAAGTCACCAGCAGGAGCACCTATCCTTTTTGTAACAAAGAAGGATGGAAGTCTATGGTTATGTGTAGACTTCAGGAAGCTCAATGATATCACGATTAAGGATCGATACCCGCTACCGAACATCACCGAATTATAGGATCGACTGAGCCATACGAAGCTATTTACCACATTCGACTTACGAGATAGATACTACCTCGTCCGTATGAAGAAGGGAGAAGAATGGAAAACAGCATTCCGAACAAGATATGGACATTTCGAATTCCTAATAATGCCAATGGGGCTTACCAATGCACCAGCAACGTTCCAACGTCTAATCAACAATGTGCTCAGACCCTACTTAGACAAGTTTGTCCTTGCCTACCTCGATGACATCTTGATATATTCGAATAGCCTCGATGAACATATTCGACATGTACGAACTGTTCTTTCATGCTTGAAGAAAGCTAGACTATGACTAAAACTAGAGAAATGTGAGTTTCACAAGGAAGAAGTGGAGTTCCTAGGGTACATAGTAGGAATCCATGGCATCAAGATGAGTGAGAAGAAGATCCAAGTTGTACGAGATTGGCCAGAGCCGACGAATATCAAAGGAGTACAATCTTTCTTAGGATTTGTCAACTTCAACTGCCAATTCATCAAAGACTTCTCGAAGAAGGCTATGCCACTCACGAAACTGACAAGAAAAGACACCAAATAGAAATGGGACTCAGATCAGAAACAAGCATTTGAAGAACTCAAGAAAGCAAGCATTGAACCACCAGTGTTGGTACTGTTCAGGAATGGAGAACTACTACGGTTTGAAACCGATGCATTAGATCTCGCTATTGGAATGACGGCTCTCCAGGAATGTGATAGAAAATGGCACCCGATTGCCTATTACTCTCGGAAGTTTACAGGATCTGAGAAACGATACGATGTACATGACAAAGAGTTGTTCGCTATCGTTGCAGCCCTACAGCACTGGAGAATCTATGCCGAAAGCTGTTCGGACCTCACGATCTTTACGGATCATAAGAACCTGGTCAACTTCATGATGATGAAACAACTCAACCGATGACAGGTACGATGGGCAGAACTCTTAGGACAATACAAGTTCAAGATTGTACACTCTCCAGGAAAAGACAATGGCTGAGCAGATGCTCTGAGCCGACGACCTGATATCACAAGAACTAAAGAAATTCCGAATGCCGTGATCCTACGAACTGGGAAAGATGGATCGCTAGAGTCAAATGTTCATTCAGCTAACCTGCTTACTATAATTATCACTGGGGTACCAGAGGACCTACAGGAAACAGTCATTCATGAACATCATGATGATCCTGTACATGGTCATCCAGGAATCACCAGGACTATAGAACTTATTCGATGGAACTACGACTTCGATCGAATGAAGGAAAAAGTTACAAACTTTATCAAGAAATGTGCAGACTGCCAAAAGAACAAGCATAGTACCTATGCACTCTATGGAGAAATGCAAGCCATAGAAGTACCGGATGAACCATGGACTGATATTTCAATGGACTTTATAACAGGACTACCATCTTCAAAAGATCCTGTTACAGGAGTTGCCTACAATGCCATACTGAACATTATATGCCGATTCACGAAGTATGCCAAGATGATACCATTCAGAAATGACTATACTGCTATCCAACTCGTATATATCATCCTAGATTGACTAATCAGGTACCACGGCATACCTAAATCAATCATCAGTGACAGAGATAAGTTGTTTATATCGAACTATTGGACCTTATTACTCGTACTGATTGGGACAAAACGGAAGCTTTCTACAGCATATCATCCACAGACCAATGGACAAACAGAAAGATTGAACAGAATACTGAAAGCCTATCTACAGATATACAGCAATCAGAAACAGAATAATTGGGTTTTACTACTACCCATGGCACAACTTTCCTATAACAATCATTTGCCAGAATCAACAGGCAAGATACCGTTCTATGCCATCCACGGGAGACACCCATATCTCTTTGAAAGAACACTACCAGGACTAAAAGCCGAAGCTGCTATTGCAACAGCAGAAGAAATCAAGAAAATCTACGAAGAAATGAGAAAGAGAATCGAACAGGCTCAATGCTAAAGCATTTCCTATGTCAACAAGAAATGAAAAACGGCATCTCAGCTGAATAAGGGGGATAAGATCTACCTGCTCACAAAAAATCTACGCACAAAATGACCGAGCAAAGGATTGGATCATGTCAAGGTCGGACCATTTTTGATTCTTGACCAAACAGGACCAGTAAACTACACACTTGACCTGCCACCCAATGTAAAGATTCACCCACAATTCCATATATCCATGTTAGAACCAGCCGACCTGGCAATGCCATTACAAAAAACATTTTATTATGAACCAGAAGAAGAAAATGAATTTGAGGTCGAGAAGATTGTAGCTGGTCGATATAGCCACAACGGACCAGAATACCTGATCAAATAGAAAGGTTATCCTAACTCAGAAAACATATGAGAACCAGAAACAAACCTTACAAACTGCCGTCAACTGCTGGTGCAGTTTTGTCGGAGAATCCCAAGCCTTCAGAACCACGGCAAGGCTCACCAAGGAAGTCGGGAACATCAGCATTCCACACCTCATCACCTAGACCAGCGATAGCACTCCAGGTGAATGGAGAAAGGGCCATTCCTTCGGTTGGCCAAGCAACTGCCTCTTGTTGCTCAAGGAGCGTAATGTTTGCCTCCTCAACAGCAATCACCTCCACAGCCCGATCAGCATTCTTGTGAAGAAGTTCCTTTACTTCTTCTTCTTCCTTCTTAAGCGTATCAAGACAGGCTTACAATTGTTTCTTTTCTTCAAAAATTACAGACCACTCTGACTCCGATATTCGAATATTGCAATTCTTTAGGTTCCGATGGTTACACTCGTTACAACGACCCGATCGGATATGTACGTAGTATGTAAGTCCTGCAGATCGACAGTTACGACATATGACAGACATGATATCTCCAAAGTTATCAATAAAGGTTGCGAGAGTTAAACGACGACTGGTGCTAGAAGAAGAAGGAGCCTTTGGCATGATGGAGAACTTCGAGGATGAAGTACAGAAGGAGGGGGATAGTGTGATGATCCAAGAGGAGCTAGACTCCACCCGATCAGAGTTGTTCTCAGTTAAGCGAGAAAGGTCACAGAGCATAGTGCAGCTGGCATGACATGATCATATGTTATCTGCGGAGTACTCTCAGTGATCATCTGATCTCTCTGGAACAAGGAGAGTAACAGAGCAAGAGTATGCAACCTGCTCTCAATGCTCTACTCATGTTTACAGAGCAAAGGGAGCACCTCATGTATATAACAGTAGATGATGAGCCTATATGGCTCATCATGTTCAATTTCAGTCAAGTACTTCTGTCAGATGGTAAGCCAGTTTATGGACATCCCATCTAGGACTGAAGAGGAGGACTGGGAGAAACTGTCTGTACCGGTACTGTCTGAGGATATGTGGCTAGTGATTTTGCAGTGGCTAGTGCCCTGCACAGCCTTGGTGCCTAGAGAAGGAACATCAAAACCGGTGTCAGGCCTCAGCCTCACCAACACAAGTACACACCTGAATACAATCAGTTAACCCATCTTCAATCAATCTTTCTGTCACCGTGACATCTTCAGATACCATCAAATCTGACAATTAAGAGTCTCACTGCCTTTACCAATATGTCTACCAACATGATCAACAATCAAACTCAAGCCACTCTGGCTACCAGTAAGGACTGGACCTCCTGGTTCACCCAACTACAATCCAAGGCAGATGCATCGGACATCTAGGACATGATTGATCCTGATGGATTCAAGAAGTTCATGGAAAGACCTACTGCTCCACTCAAGCCTCAAGTCTCAGACTATGAGCCTGCACTCCCAGCAATCCCAACTATTGAGACAGCTTCTTCTAACACCATGAGCACCAGAAGCCGCACCCAACAATCCATCCAAGCTACCTCCACGAACGATGAAGCAATCGACCGCATTCCACTCAGATTCTTGTCAGACCTATCAACTTCAGGCCTCAAGGCATACAAGGATGACTTGGAAAACTGGAAGATAGAGATGGAAGCATACAAGGAAGAACGGAGAGAGTGGGAGAGAGAACAAGCAAGTCGCAAAGATCTGGTCAAACACATCCAATCCACTGTCTCCAAGCATCTGCAGAAGACATGTTGCCGCTTTGGTACTCAACTGAGAGAGCAAATCAGACTTCTCAGAACCACTGTTGGAATTGAGGATGATGTGGAAAGAGACAAGGCCAGGGACC